ATCCAGTTGATAAGGATTTGAGAAACCAATTAGACTATCCACTGGATAGTGATTATCTGGTATGTCCATCTATTAAACAACTAGGGCGAGAAATTTAAAAGATTTGTAAAATTCTAGCTTAGATAAAGCCTTCACCCCACAATGTCCTTTTCAATCTGGGCACATAATTGGGTGCCATCAATATAATTACAGCATTGCCCATAAAGATGGAAGTGACGGTAGAATTATGTTGTGAGGCCTTCCGGGGGTGGAGGTGACAGATGACGTTTTCCTCAGAAAGCGCAGACAATCGACAGAAAAGGAAGAAAGAATTCTGACAGCGACAGTTTTTTTTAAGTAGTGAGCTTTTTTATAGATAGTTTCCCTGTTTTGGCAGTGAAATAACAATCTCTTTTCCTCATTATTTCCAAACATTTTTTGTTATTTTCTTTGAATTGTTTTCTAATGTTGGTGTTATTAAAGAATGGTCCTAATGGGAGAAAGGTTAATTAACAGTTAATGAATGAGGCTGAGTATCTTATGAAGAATTATGGAGATCGAGGAGGGTGTTATCCGTCGAGGCCGTAGGCCGAGGCGGATAACACCCTCCGAGATCTCCATGATTCTTCATATGATACGAAAGCCGAATTCAATAACTGTTTTATTATTCATTCAAAATAATTTCTAGTTTAAAAACATAGCTAAAACATGCTTACCTCCATCGATCCATCGATGTTCAGTTCATCTTCGACAGTGTACGTTTAGGTTTGTCCAGCTCCGCAAATATTCTCCAAATAGCAGATGTCGCCCTTCGAGTTGTCTTCTTGCTGTTCTTGCCATGTTTTTAGCTATTTTTTTGCCTAATTCTTACTCTTGAAACGAGTGAAATGTCCGCCATTTTTTCAAGTTCACAACCAAAACAACTCAACCTCGTCCCCAGGTCCTCTCGGTTAACGGTGCCTTAACCTAAAACCTGCACGAACGTTAGCACGAACGCTGCATTTTTGACGTCATTTCCTCGTTAAAGTCAAATTTTTTCCAAATTTGGTCATCGGTAACTGGTTATGGTGAATTAAGCGTCTGCTTTTAGCCAATCAGAAACGGGGAAATATTTTGAATGAATAATAATAACAATTAATTATTTTCAGGCGCTATATCTGCCGTACATTCTCAAATTGAGTATCACAAAAAGGGATGCTGTACCGACAGTTACATTTTATCCTAACCTACAAAGCAACAGGCAGTCTCAGAATTGACCGACAAAACGACAGCGTATCCCCCATCCCTACTCCCTCGGAGGCCTCTATTGTAGTTGCTGAGTAATGCAGAGGTTCCAGATTTGGTCTCATAACATAGACGCTTGTATTCTATCCAACAGAGTGTGTTCAAAACTTGGTAGATGTTGATGAGAGGAAATTTATTAAAATTCGAAACCTGGAGGGAAGAAAATAGTGACCCATCTCCTCACAAAAGACAGATTCCTTTCCACTGCACTTAGGAATATACATATTTTTCGTTTTTTGCCAGGTGACCATTAGTCTAAACATTTGTGCTACCATAGCGACTGCCATGGGACCCAATGTCAACAGACACTTAAAGATCCTTGGTCCTGGTATATTTAGCACTCTAGCAGATGCTAAGGTAAGGAGAATACAATTCACGCAAGTGAGTGTTAAGTGAGGGCACTGCTTATGGGTTGTTTAGTTTAGTGGTTATTCATATGCAGAGTCCGTTCAAGTAAATAAGGAATTTGTTTTTTCTCATGTCACAGAATGCTGTAAGAGCTGCTGGAATTGCTGCTTTGAATGCTTGGCACAAGGAAATTGGATTAGTATCGTTCATTGAAGGAGAAGTCATCTTTGGTGCCCTCAGTACAGAGAATCCTAATTTAAGAACAGAGGTATGAATAAAATATGTTATAGTGATAAAACTGTTTCTGGCCAACTCTCTAAAAATTTTTCTGGTCAAATTAAGAACCTGTGACCCAGAGTTTTAGTTCCTTTCGTTAAAAAGTTGGAACCATTTTCTACTGTTTGTTTAACTGATATACACAGTCCCAATAGTAAAACTACCATGAGTTCTGTATTGATAAAGCAATCGTTGAAAAAAAAAAGTTATTTTCTCAAAAGCAATTTTTTAAATCAACCAATACCAATCCGCGACCGTATTTATCTTCCTTTTGGGAAAATCTTTTGTGTTAATTCATAATAAATCTGGCTTAAATAACCAGAATGACCAATCCAGATTTGACCGTTTCATTTATCTTTTTTTGATGATTGGACTAAAAATAACAGTTATCATTTTTGAAAACAAGAAAAAGAAACCTGGGTTGATTTTAATCCCGGGTTAAGCGCTAATCGGCTTTCGAACAACTGGGCCCAGAGAAAAAACTTAGACGTAGTTTACAAACTCTAGTTACATTTCCTTAAAAAGAGAACGGTACTTAAAAAAATTGGCTGAACTTTGGGTTAGACTTGACGGATCGTTATACGTATCTGGGAATCTGCCCTTACCCCTCCCCTAAGCCAACATTTTGCCCTAACTTAGAAGTAAGTGTTAATGTTGGCTTAGGGGAGGGGTGGGTGGTTAGTAGGAACCATACCTGGGGTGGTTTTTGCTGTTAACCAGCACAGATACACAAACGTTTTGTGTCCTTTATATTAAAGGTGTTAGGCTGGCTGGAGGAGAAGTTGCCAAATGAGAAGAACCTGACAAAAGACTTAGTCACCTTAGTTGTACCTTTGTTTTCATGCCTGGAGGATCGCAGCGGTGATGTGCGTAAGAAGGCTCAGGCTGTTGTACCTCTGATGATGCAGCATGTTGGCTGGGATGCCATGAGCAAACAGGCTAATAAACTCAAGGTAACATATTTAAGGTTCTTCTTTGTATAAAGCTTCGGTGAAAGTAATAGTGTCCTCAGTTAGTTAGCCTCCGTTGCAGCCAGACTTGTCATTCGAGACCCAGATAGAGAACTTGACATCAGGGATTTAGACTGTTTGCGACGCAGGCTACAGTTAGTACGTTAGTGCTTAATACATTGACATTAAAATAAAGTGCATTAACTTTTTTCCATGCAAACAACACAGCTAAGACAGCCAAAACATTGTGGTGGCCTGCCTCTTTGGCAAGCTCTTTAAGCCATAAGTCACTCCTTGCAAACGTGATGGAAACAACCCCTGGCCTTCAATTGCCTCAAGTTTAATTTCGCCTTAACTCTGATTAGCCGCAATAACAGGCCGTTGTTGATGATATATTTTAACTCGGGCATTATGCAAGAACAGCCCCTCATCAATTGCTTACTTTAGAAACAATAAGGGAACGGGGCCGAGTTAGCTTTTGCAAGGACTTTTGGAATCGTTACTGGGGCTGCGCCGGTCAGCTAGTGGCCAATTTTTTTCCCTGTCCCCAGTAACAATCCCAAAAGGACTTTTCGGGGATCGTCACTGGGGGCTCCCGCGCCCCCATCCCTAAACCCTGGTCACCCTAACCCTAACCCTTCGCCCCCATTTTTTTCCTGTCCCCAGTAACAGTCCCAAAATTTTGTGCGAAAGTTAATTAGGCTCAGCTGTCAGAGTTGGAATGTCATTATGCTAAAATAAATAAATGCTCCGGTCATAATTTCAGCCTGCGTCCAAGTCTAATATTATGCCAATGCTGGAGAAGGCAAGAGCATCTCTTCCTGAACCAACAAAAGGACCAAGCAAGTCAGCTAGTAAACCTGCAGCCGGAAAGGCTCAAGCAGATTCGTCATCCACAGCATCAGCTGGAGGTGCTGCTGCATCTTCCACCTCATCTGCGCCTTCTGATAGTAATGCTACCAGTCGGAAACCTAAATCTGGAACCAAACCGCCTGCAGAAACCAAGGCAAGTGGAAATAAGCCCGACTCAAATCCCTCCATCTCCCCTAAGAACCATGTATATGACACGAAATTTGTCGAAACTGATTTTGGTCCATAGACAAGTTTGGTTAACTAATCTGAACTTTAAAAATATGTCTTCCATAAAAACGTCTTGAATTCGGGCCTTCCAAAAACTGCTTTTTCCCCTTGCCATGTGTGGTCAGTTCGTTTACTCAGCCTTCGCTTCCTATTCTGATCATTCTAACGTGAACTCTGAACGAATAACTTTAACGGGTATAAAATTCCCAATGTATTAAATTCTAACGTGACTCTGAGGCTTTAGGGTCAAAATTCCAAATGTTTCACCGCTACATTATCTCGCAATTTCCAGAAGAGACTTGAGCACAAAGAATACCAAACCAAATGTAGAAAAATGACCAGAACCTTGGAGTCATGTTAAAATTTTAATGTATCGAACGTGGGCTATTGGGAAGTTTACGAAAATGGAAATCTTTCGTGTTTGCCGCCATCTTGTTAGTTATTCTACATTCTCGCAAATCATTCTACGTCATACTTTTCAATATGGCCACGCGATGGGGCAGACAGTTTTGAAGGCAAATTCGCGTGTTTCGAAGACGAAAAAAAAAGGTCAGTTTCCAAGATTATTGAGTAAAAACGACAAAAAGAAAGGTCGTGTCATATACACTTTAAATGAAAGCTCAAAATCATTACAGACAATACCTCCTTGTATCTTTTACTGTGGAACCACACCTTATGACTTCTTTTTTCTGGCCCTAACAAAAATCAAGTCGCTTCTTTTTTCTGCTGTCGCGTTTGTGAGTCCACCAATCCTTACTCATTTTTTGTAACCTTCTTATCAGCAGTCATCCAAGAAGTCAGCTTCAGCAGATGTAGATGAAGGTCCTGCTCTGTCGAAATATAATGGTAAAGATGCCCGGTTCAAGGATGAAAAAGATCTCAAGGTAGGCTTATTGTTGGAAATTCCGCCTTGGACTTAAGGAAGTAACCGTCTTGTAACGACAGCAAAAGTTTCATTGTAAAAGGAACACAGAGAAAAAGACAAAGCAGCTCATAATTTTTGTCCACTCCAGAGTACTACACCATTTTCTGAAATAACACGTTCAGATGTCAATTACCGGTGTGGAACCACTTCCCTTTTGTCACTTGTGAAGTCATCATTTTAAACGGTCATTTACACTTTTGACAATTGAATTGTGTAGAGGAAAGACTCCCGGAGATCTTTCGTACCAAATCCAAATGAGCCTGAGAAAGGTACAAAACTTTTGTAACCAGGGCTGTGTGTCTCTGAACCTGTGCAATCCAGTGTGTCCAGCATATCATTTTTATGACAAAACTTAGATTTCGTAGTTGCCTGAGAGCAACAGTAATATGAACATCACTTGGCGATACTATTAGACAGTCACTGTGGTTATTCCAAGCTGGAAGATGATGACTGATGTTAAGGGCTTCTTCATCTTTGTTTTCAGGCTCTAAAATGGAACTTCACCACTCCCAGAAATGAGTTTGTTGATCAGCTCAAGGAACAGATGAGGCCATGCTGTGGACAAACACTGCATGCAAACTTGTTTCACAAAGATTTCAAGTTCCATCTGAAAGCACTCGAGACCTTGCAACAGGTAGATTTTTAGTTTGAAATTATATTTACCCATTAAGCAAGCTTAAAGGAGCTATATCATGCTGTGTGCTAAGTTCTTAAAAAGCTAAACCTTTTTTTCGCATCGATTGAATTTCAAAAATAATGGTTTTGGTGTTGAAACGGCCGTTATCTTGCCGAAGTGACTACGTTGCTGCTCATACTAAAGCTCCAAAAGGTTAATGTTTTGATAGAAACTTAGGTTTATTATTTTATTTTTTCTTTCTTTGGTTCCCAGGGACAGTATCCCCTTTTCATGGTGCACACACGTTGCATCACAGAAAGCTTCGACTCTTTTTTTTGGGATGGGTGGGTACGGGGGGGGGGGGGGGTGTTTTTATGGATGGTACCTTATATCGCCAAGTATTCCTCCAGGGCTTAGAACAGTGTAGAGAAAGAAGACATCTGCAAGGAATAGTGGGATCCAAAAGGATACACGAGTAATTAAGCAATTTTCTGATGTTGTGATCAAAACGTTTTGTGGAAAAAATTCCTTTAAATTGGATGGCAGTGCCCTCAAAATATCATAGTCTCACTTTCTAACAGACCGTGTCCGAGTTGCACCAAGCCTCTGTTTCAAAGCGAGGCTAAGTGCAAAGCCATTATTCCTAGGCAAGTAAAACTCATTTTCTCAAGTTGCCTTGTTTTGAAAGGGAGAATTTTTGGAATTCGGAAATGGCCTATGTCAAGACCCGCAGTGATATTTCCTTGGTTTTGTTTTAGTGTGCCACTCCTCCCACAGAAGCACCATTTCAGACTGAGCTGGTCCAGTCATTGGATTTGATCTTGAAGTGGGTAACGTTACGTTTCTTTGACACCAACACCACAGTGCTGATCAAATGCTTGGAGCTCTTGGACGCTATCTTTGTCATGCTTGCGCAGGCAGATTATCAGTTGCTGGAGTTCGAGGCTTCTAGTTTTATTCCTTATCTTGTTCAAAAGGTGAGGTGGAGATCGCTTTAAGACAACTCCGTTTTCTTTTCTTATTATAATTATTAATACAACAGTTACCTCAGAAGGATTCATACTAGTATGACCTCTGTCGTTTGCTGAGCACTAAGGCGAGGCTGTTTTCAAGAAAACTTGTGAATCTAGTAAGCCTAAGAGCTGTGACGTTATGAAATCTAGGATGCTCCGCCCTTTTGCCTTGAGGCAAAAGTCAGTCGCCTGGCTGTCACTAGGATTTTAAGTTGCTGGGTTCCTGAAATAAGTAGGGCGGGAATCAAACAGCCTGGGGTTTCTTTTGTTCGTTTTGTTTTTTCTACATTTTGCCACGGAAGTAGGCAGGGGTCACGTTAAATGTTCACAGTAGCCGCGGAAAATCCCCTGTTCCCGACACCTTATGACAGCGCTAAATCGCTGCTAAGACAAATTTTTAGAATCCGCCCAGTACACGAAAGTTAAAGGGGTTTGGACACACATCACGATTAGCAGAGATTTACAGTAGAATCCTGCAACGCATAGTGCAGGGAGGGTGAAGGAGGGGAAGAGTAGACAGAAGAATCGAAGGAAAAACTGCATCTCAGAATGGATAGGCTTAAAGCTCAGTGACGCGCTAATATAAGAGAGAATGCAAACAGAGAGGTGTAGGGATACGGTTGCCAGGTCTTCTGTGGCGCCTCATTGGTCATCCTGTCAACGGGATAGGTACAGGTACTGGTGAAGTCAAAGGGCACAGACACTGTGATAGGTGGAGTTTGTCCCCCTGCAGACAATCGTGAGATCTGACAAGCAAAAAGACTCCCCATGGAGTAAGTTGCACGTCTTAGTTTAATACGTTTTGTCGTATTTATTTTTATTTGCAGGTTGGTGATCCAAAAGATGTATTGAGAAAAATGATTCGCAATCTTTTGAAACTTCTAAGAAAGATCTATCCAGCAAGCAAGCTGTTTAACTATATCATGGAAGGCATTACATCAAAGAACAAGAATACGAGAATGGGTAGGTGTAGATATGTGTTTGTTTAAGCTCTCGTGCCAGAGTCATCTTAAGAACTGTCTTATTCTTTTTCCCTCTTTTCTACACCTCCTTACTGTTGCATTCAACATATATTTATTAGGTTTAAATGCGTTGAAACTTTGTTCCCCCCAAAAATGGTTCAGACGCACCACAATGTTGCAGTGCTGCAAATAACTTTCGGTCATTGTACAATGTCCGCGCCTACCGTGCAAACATTAATTTTGAAGTTGCTTATATTGTCCTTTATTACGTCCACCAATGGTGGCTTTGCGGCACAAATGTCCTTTCAAGAAAGAAAAATTCTTTTCACCTCTGAAGTTAAGTGGATGACTTTGTTTGATCCGTTAAACGGACCCTAAGGGCCTGTGTACAAGGAGAGAGGGTTACTCTAGCAAGCGGGTTAAAGTTAGCTCTGGTTTACCAGCAAATTTCACTGGTAGGGTTACACTATCACCTGGCTCAACGTCATCAGCTTTACATTGTTCAGATGTTTATAATTTAGCTCAGAAATTGGATAACCCCGTTTAAATTGTCAAGATTACTGGTGACGTATGATAAAGGAAAGTTGTCCCGGGAAGGCGAGTTATCCCTAACAGACGTTTACAAGGCAGGTAGGGTAACCCTCTCCTCTTGCAAGGGTAACCCTAGCACCATGGTTACCCTCCCTCTTGTAAACAGGGCCTACGACCTAGCTCCCTGTGTTAAACTTCAAGGGAGTGTCATTTCCAAATGGCAAGACCCATGTCCCTTTTCAGTCTCCGGATTACAGTAATAACTGAGTAAGATCCTCCAACTTAATTTCTCTGATTGTCGCAGAATGCCTTGAAGAACTGGGGTCTTTGATCCAGGTGTATGGCATGAATGTGTGTCAGCCCACTCCCCCCAAGGCAATTGCTGCCATTGCTGCTCAGATCGGTGACCGAGATAATGGCGTCAGAAATGCTGCTTTGAATGCTGTTGTGGAAGCTTATTTTCTTGTCGGAGAGAAGGCGTGTTTCAAGTACTGTTCACAGGTGAGCTTTTTAAATTCACAATATCATAACTTTGTTCACCTTTCTGCTTTAAGAAATTTCTCCGTTTACTGCTTGGTCAGAAGTCGGCATTGCGTTTTTCATCAATTTCGTTCACAGTTTCTCTTCATCATGCGCGCTGATAGTTACATTATCACAACCCCGCAAAAAATCTAGCCCACACTTCATGCAAGATGGTGGCCAAAGTTCCTAGCTTACCACAACACCAAGCAATTTGAAACTAAACCAACCACGAAAGAACTTTCCATACTCATTTGACCTCCTCTGTAAAATGGACATTTTGAAATCAATCCTTATCTGCTAATGTGCAAGCATCAAAATCTTCCCACTTGAAAATGTAAATTGACTCTTTCTCACACCTTACTGGTGTAGTATATCTGAACTTAACTGAGAAGGATGTGTAGATGTGAATTCAGTAGTTCCTTTATGAGCCGCATAAATTTGTCAACTTGTTTTCTTGAACAGCTCTCGGATAAAGACCTTGCTTACCTCGAAGAGCGCATTAAACGGTCGTCCAAGAATAGACCCAGTACCGCTCCGTCTGAAAATACAGCTGCTAAGAGCAGTGCTGCTCCACGTGGAGCAGGTGACTCAGCTGATGGCACCAAGAAAAACTTAAAGGAAGAGAAAAAATCTGCCAAATCTCAGATGACCAGGTTATTATTATTATTATTATTTTGTAATTGATATTAACGCTTTCGCACCATGTTTATTCTATTAAGGTGTGTTGGATTGACCGCATCACGCAATAAGAACTGTGAATTGTGGATAGCGTGACAGCCCCTTTATTTTGATTTTATTCCCGAATCTCTCTCCAAATGTCTGATTTTTTTAGGTGCGCATGCTCACCTCTTCTGCGGAACTGCAGCGAAAAGGACTGGGCACCTTACGAAGCCCAAGTATACGCCATGGCAGCATGAACGACTGCTGACATGCCGGAAGACATGAGTGGCAACCAGAAGGTTGTTTTTTTTTTATGAAACGCTTTTCCATACACAACAAGCTTTAAAGTTTGTGTTTTAACCCCTATAGTAATATGATTGGCAGAGAGATAAACTAACTGAAAGAGAGGGGGGAAAGCACTTCACCTGCGGTTGTGATTCGCCACCTTTGTCGTTGCTTAAAGGGAACCTCCACTCTTACTACAGAATAAGTTTAGATCGAATAAAATTATGTTGATAAACAAATTTGTTCGAAATTTGTCCTTTAAAAAAGTGTTTATATCAGGAAAAGTGAATTTTAAAATCGCTCATTTCACTTTCAAATTTCGCGGGCGCCGCCATCTTGAATAATTGTGACGTGTTACGGTTGCTCTATTGTCCTGACACAAAGAGCTTTTGTTTAATAGCAATAGGGCAACCGTAACACTTCACAATTATTCAAGATGGCGACGCCCGCAAAATTTGAAAACAAAAATAGGCGAATCTAAAAGTTATTTCTTTCGTATACAAACGCTTTCTTTAAAAATATTTTAGATTGACTTGACTGTAACAGTTATTTCCTGTGATTTAAAGTTATCTTTTTGTTGAAGTGGAGGTTCCCTTTAAGGTGGCCATTGGGTCATTAACCACTCATCCAGCCTTTGTTTTGCCTACAGACCCGCTACAGCCCCAGCGCCACGACAGGAGAATATCCGCCGTGAGTTTAGTTTAGATATCGATGGAATAGAAGGAGACTATCATTATAGTGAAGTATCAGTTCTTCAACTGGAGACCAATGAAGCTTTAGATGACTTGATTAGTGCACCCATTCAGAAACCCTTCACCAAGTGAGTCTGTTTTGGTAATCTTATTGCCCCGACGCAACTGATTTAAAACCCCGTGCAAACGCACGCAACATTGTTGGATCTTACATGTTTCGTCTGTTTGCACACCCTGTTGCATGTTGTAGGGAGTTGTTGTATCCGTTTGCACGCCACTGCAACACGGACTCAACAACACACAACATTTTTGGCGCAACATTGTTAGAAGTTGTTGCGTCCGTTTGCACATAGCTTGGTTGCTGTAGTTTTTTTTGGCATTGCATACACTGTCTGATGATTTCAGTCTCATTTGTTTGTAGCGTCGAAATTGCAAATTTATCACAATGGCAGGTTCATATGTATTGAGCTAATTTGTTAGACAGTAAACAGTTTGCCATGCTGAGTTGCAAACTGTGCTTGTAGGCTGAATTTGACGAGTTGTTATCAAGGTCACCATAGTCCGTTCCACAATCTCGTCAATAGACCTCTTTAGCTTGAATGTTTTGTTTTCCCGATGAAGGTCTCGAGGGTATTTGCCCCTTTGTCTTTTCATAAAGTTTGTGCACATGTGCATGGGAATAAGACGAAATTTGAATGAAACAGTTCTCTAGAGTGTTATCACAAATAAAACGTACAAGCTAAAGAGGTCTATCCGTCATTGGGTTGAACTTCTGGACATAAGAGATCTAGCCAATGTAAAGTCGTCCACTCCCCGATTTTCTTTGAGAGGAGGGGACGGCTGTTCACAGACTAAAGAACATCTGATTAGTGATAGAGAAGTTATCATGATAGGTTTAGAAGGTGACTTCACCTTGGTGGTATCTTCAGTTAGGTTATCTAAACGTCAGTCACTGTCACCGACAGTCCTTTTTTAAGAAAACTGAAATAACGATGAGGTTTTCCTCCTTCTTTTCATCAGAAATCCAGCTTCTCCTCATATGGGAGTGTTTAGCAGGACCAACCCAACAGCCGCCTTCAATTACGTTATTTCTCAGATAGCGAGCAGTGACGTCACAGCTAGTACCCAGGCCTTGGTGCAATTTGAGAGAGTGATCAGAAATAAGAACCATAAGGAAGTTAGCAAACATATAGACCAGGTAAGATGTATTTGATTGGCTGATGGTTGTATGTGTGTTGTCAAATGACGATTGGCCTCCCTGTTTGTGTGCGGAAATTGGCCACGCATTATTACTTTCTTATTGGATGGGTGCGTGCGTACATTGATACCAGGGAGCTTTTCCTTTGCTGTATTCTCCCTTTTCCCACAATAAAAGCCTGATCCTCAGGCAAATGCGGGCGGAGCACTGCTGGTAATGTTTACTGCAATAAAGAATGGCCATGTTCAACTTTCGTCTAACCCAGTCGGAACCACAAGTGTGAAAAGATGTTTGAAATTTGTTGCAAATTGTAATTTGTTTACAGACGAATCACCAACTAGTTCTTAAGAACTCGTTTAAACATGTCCGTTCCTTCCAGATCAAATTTGAATTTGAAAGTGTTGATTATTGAGGAGATGGGAAAGACGGAGTACCCGGAGAAAAACCTCTCGGAGCAAGGGGGGGAACCAACAACAAACTCAACCCACATGACACCGATGACGGGATTTGAACCAGGGCTACATTGGTGAGAAGCCAGTTCTCTCACCACTGCTCCACCCTTGCTCCCTATAACGAAATTTCTTTTAGGAAACCAAGCTTATTAGTGATTATTATTCCTTCAGTTTTTGAATGCAGCCTCTTTGCAACTAAACATGATCCTGACCACTCACGTCCCTAACGTGGAGTCGAACCAGCAGCCTGAAGCCAGTGTATTGAGGCTCATCAACTGTCTAATGGACACCATGTTGAGTGTGTTCTCCAGTGCGCCTCTTGCACGCTCCGTGTCACGCAGCTCACTGAAGCAGCTCATGCAGGTCTTAATAACAGTGCTCTCTGATGACCGCCTGGCAGAGTTACAGGATGGTCCTCAGATAATCAGAGCCATTAATATTCTGATGGTGAAGGTGATTGAGATGTCCGATCAGACTTACGTCTTAGGGTAAGTCGGGTAGCATGAGAAGAAAGCGCGCGACATTTCGGGATATCACCGACGGTTTCCCTGCGAATTGACGTCTGAAGAACGGCTGCAGAAATTACGTACTAATGACGTATGACTACCCAAATCTGGGATCTGCTTCTGATTGGTCGTGCCGCGTGGGAAATTTGCTTTAACCAATCAGAAGCACTACCCCCATCTGCGTTATGATACGTCATCAGTATGGAACCTCTGCGCTCGCTCCTCAGACTTCGTTTCGTGGTTAAAGCAGTGGTGGCGTCATGGAATGTCGGCTGTTATCTCAGGCTACAATGCAAGAGGCTTCTTGTGTTTTTGTTTTTACCGCCTTGGAGTGTTAAATAAAAATTTCACATTTGGACATAATTGTGTACAGGACTGACCTTTTAGTTGACTTAAAGTTTGTGAAATCATATGGTGACGAGTGAAATAAGGAAACTAATTCTAGACGCCGTTTTGTAATTTCTCATGTGAAGTTTTCATGGCAAAAGTAGGGAGGAATTTATTACCCAACATTAAATCTCTTTTAAGTAGTGTGTTACAAGGCATCAGACCCTGATTGATTGATTGAAATGCTACCTTTTTTATCCAGTAGGAGAAAAGTAAAGCCACTGATAGTTGACTCCCGTGCATTTTCTACAGTTAGATGTGGGCTAGTCCTACAGTTGACTTCCCCATCAATGGCGTGATAACAAGCCTTTTGTAAATAAATAGGGGTTACTTATCCCGGCTTTGGAGCAGAAAAGTTCAATAGTAACATCTTAACTTTTATTTCAGTTCACTGATCAAACTTCTACAGGACTGTCTTAAGCTTCTTCAAGAAAGTGCTGGCACCTCACTTAGCTCGCCCAAGTTTCTGGACCTTGTTATGAAGGTGATTATTTCCGCGAGGGGTTGACCCGTGGCTTTTTCGGATCGTTTTCTTTCGTTCGAACGTATCCATTTCTGTTTGGAACGGATATATAATTAATTCGAATCGGCCTTAAAAGTATCTGAAATTCTCCCTCAACCCCTAACAGCTCGGGCATCAAGCACTTTTGTAATCCTTGTCTAACCCAGGCCAGCCAAACCTACAATCACTTGTCCTTTGACCTCTCTTTCAGCAATGCTTCGATTTTCGAGACCAGTGATGAAAGTAGCTATGCTTTTTATCTAGTCTGCTACACAGCCGTTTTTAGTGTCGTCACGCAACGCTCCTCCCCACAGAGTGTTGCGTGACGACACTAAAAACGGCTGTGTAGCAGACTACTTTTTATCCTGCGGGTTTCGAACATAAGAATCTTGAACTTTTGATCTTAATAACAGAAAAATTGACTTAAGACTTGTCATCTGTCCTAAAAATTTGGCCCAGCTGAAGTAAAATATTGCAATTCCCTGCAATAATTTCTGAATACTTCAAATGTATATAGACTGTCACGTCATCATCTTCAAACAGTTTCGTTGTATTTGTCCACATAGTTCTGGAAAGGTTTACTGAACCATCTTATTTTTGACACGTGAATGGTTGGAGAGTCTCCAGATCTCTTAAGTTTAAGTCGCTTAGTGTTTAAAGATGAAGACAAGCTCTAGATATACAGATAATGGGTTTAGGCTATGTGCATTTCTAATCAATGTTTAGGTGTGAAAAGAATTGCAAAAATATCTATAACTTTCTTATTCGTTCAGTCGTTTTTGTCTTCTTTTTATTTCAGTGCCTTTGGAAAGTTGTTCGTAATTTACCAAAGACTATTTCGGAAGTGAAAGTGGATCAGATTCTCTTGGATATACACACGTTCCTACTTACCCACCCTCACCAGATGTGGAAAAATCGTGCAGATGATACGCCGCTTAGGACAATCAAAACAGTTCTTTACACGCTTGGAAAGCTTAAAAAACAAGAGGTCAGTTATGTTAATCTTTCTTCGTTGAATTTTCTTATATGTCTGTTGCCTCGTAAATTGTCATATATAGCGATCCACGTCACATGCTCCCTTACCCCTTAGTCCATCGCGGTAAAATTGACAGTCGTGTTGTTAAGTTAAGAAGGGCACTGTCAATTAATAATCAGTGAAACTCTAAAGCTACTGAGCTACCGCAAATCCTCTATTAACCTGGGGAGGGGAGGGGCGGGGTTGTATTTGTTTCAAACACATTTGAAGCGGGAGGCTTATTTAATTTAGAAGAGACGATGGTTTGAGTTCTCCTTAAGGAACTAAAGTATAAAGTGGAAAAGTTCAAATACAAGAATGTTGGAGGTCATACAGCCGAGGATCAGAATCAAATCCGAACTTCCAGTTGGTAACCATACCATCCCTTATGAGTCCACACGAAGTTTTGCAGTCGTGATTGATTAATACAATCTATCATTAATTAGTGTAGAATAATTTGGGGAGGAGAGGGGGGTGTGATAGAGACAAGGGTTTATTATTAATAACCCCTTCTTCTTTCTTCCCCTTAAAAGGGGGCTTATTAGGCGGGGGGGGGGGCGGCGGCTAAATAGAGGATTTATGGTAGATCTTTGTTCTAAGGATAGGAGTATGGCCTCCTCTCCCGGCCAAAGGTTTTTTGTGTGCCTCTAGAGTTTGATACTGTCTTGAAGTTAATAATCCCTATTACGACTATATGACGTTCTCATTACTCCTTCTAGGAGCTCTCAAACCACTTGGGGGGAGGAAAGCAAGCTGATATTTGTATGACATAGGTGGCGGCCGTGAATCTCCAAATATGACTGTTGAGTAATGACATGAACAGGAAGTGTTAACCATGGGGAAAGTTGAAATTTTTTGACTGGAAAGTAACATTATTAGCCTTCGCAGCAAGCGTTTCCGTACAGTTTTGGAGCAAAGAAAGATCGAGGAAAGACGAGAAACGGAATTTTCGGTTTTGGCCGCGCGAAAAATGGAACGAGAGCTTTCCTTCCTTTTTTCCTACCCCCTCCCCGCTCTTTTACTTGCCGCATTTTTCGCGCGGTCTTTGACTCTCGTTCCTAGTTTTTTGCTCCGAAACCAAAAGAAAACGCTTGCTACGCAGGCTACAACATGATTGGCTCCAGGACTAGTCTGGTGTTTATCCAGTGTGCATTTCATTGTTTCTTTCTGTAATTGTAGATTTTAGGTTGTTTGGGTTTGATTGATGATCCAGAAAACAGTGAAGTAGCCGCTTATCTGAAGAAAATTCTGAAGACTGGAAACCGTAATGAGAATCACGTGAACGGAAGTGACGCAACCACGTCTCACAAGTCAACAGGCTCGGTACCAGACCTCTTAATGGGAGTTGACGTGAGTAGAATTCAAGGAGACTATGGGACCTACTTTCTTGTATCCACTACTTTATGATAGCATTCGTTTTACGCAAAGAAGAGATAAGCTAGGGAGCAATTGTAAGGGTTTCGTTGTAGTTTGGTACTAATACGATACAGAAGACAATTTTTTCCACAGATTTACAGATTCTAGATATCAAGAGGTTTGTTATTAAGGGTATTGATAACACGCCAGAAAGTAGATGATTTTACTTAGTATTCCCTGAAAATTGGATGACGGTGAGGCTGTAGAAGTCAGTTCGATATTTTCAGTTGTTCAAAATTTCAATATCGTAGTTTGACCCAGAACATTTTTTAAATGACCCGTGTGGGACATGTATGACCCATTTTGACTAATTTCTAGATTGAACACTGCTTACAGATACTTAAGAGAACTTCCACAGCAATCAAGTTGTTTGACTCTTTTTTTTTTTTTTTCATTTCAGAGTAAGTCACAGAACAAAGAGAAGCTTAATGAAAAGTTGGCTGAAATTTTTGCCAAAATTGGTTCCAAAGAGAACACAAGAGAGGTATGTTGGATACATTTTACTTTGTACAATTTCGCATTTGCGGCCTTTTCTTTCAGTATGGCGCAGGTTGGAACTAGTATGCGTAGTGGCATTTTATTATGTGGTTAGGGCCATGGCAAGGGTTCATTTATTTCTTCCGCCTGTCACGAGTTGTCACAGGGTTTGCACAGGTCATGAAAAACCAGGAAAGTCATGAAATTTTAGAATTTCATTTTCCACGTCTGGAAAGTCATGGAATTTAGTCGTCGGTCATGGAAAGTCATAGAAAATTAAAGCTGTGTATGTTAGATTTGTCTCTGAAGTTATAAAAAAGACAAGAAATTAAACAGTGCGAACGCCACGTTTTTTGGTTTAGGCCAGATTCTCTATTTGTTTACCCTGAATGCCAGAGACTTTCCTAGCGCGGTTTGCGGTTTCTGTTAAGTCTTCATTCGGCCTACGCCCGAAGATATGTTGGTCTTCGGCCAACACCGAAAATTCCCGCCGCACGCGGAGAAAACCTCTGATACCCAGGGTACCATTTGTTGAACTGGGTTATGTAAAACAATACCATGAACAAGGATAGTTTTGAAACTGAGAAGGTCATGGAATTTGAAGAGCTCAAGAGAGTAGGAACCCTGTGTCAAACCGAACAGAGAGTCCACCCCTTACCGCAAGGGCTATGCGGTATAGTGTAGATGTGGCCTAAGTCAAGAAAAGAACGCTAAGAAATCTAACTGGTAGGAGGTAAGCCAGTTGGTGATTAACAAACATGGCCGAGGAATTTCAAGTACAACTCGAGGCTGCCGAGAAACAACGGCAAGTAGTAGTAATGCCGCGTCTGAAACCCGGAACCACCGGATTACGAGTCCGACGCTCTTAACACAGCAACCCGGCCTCATATTCCTTCCTTGAATTAAAACTGAGTATTGTAATTGGTCTTTTTATTTTAGGGCCTGGCTGAGCTTTATGACTTCAAACAGAAATATCCTGATGCAGATGTTGATCCTTTTCTCAAGAGAACATCGGAGTTTTTCCAGAGTTATATCGAGAGAGGTCTTAAAAATATCGAAATGGAGAGGAAAGGCCTGGGCAAGAAAGTAACAGGTACTCGTTTGCTTTGTACCTCTTTACGGCGTCGAGCCTCAGGATTTTTTGGTACACCACCATGGCTGCCATTAAATTGTCTTGGTATACCAATAGCGAGCTTAAGCAACGAGAACGCTGACGTCCCGGACGTTAAGAAATCTTAATGCCTCGCTGTACGAATTTTTCGAGTCAAAGCAGTGAAGTAGAGAAAATAATAACATCAACTTCCGGCTGCTGTTTTTGACGTTCGGGACGTCAAGGTTCTCGTTGCTTAAGGTCCCTAATATGGCCGCCATGACGCCATTTCTGAGTTCCAAAAACCCTCACCTTCTGAGTGTGGCTAAGTGCAAACTCTTTAATATGAAAATGGGTTAAATTACCCGGTATGTCCATGTAATGCGGACTTAACCTCGGTTAGAAGAGAGTACTTGGGCAAGCTATTGTTGTGGACTCGCTGTGTCCGTATACCGTAAATTGCCTCTTATAGGCCCTTCTACCCGTAAACAAATAATTAAATTCGATTATAAACCCTGCGGATATATATAAGCCCCTCCCCTCCCCTCTAGCCCCCCTCTGATTGCGATTTATTATGACGTTTTAAAGCTTGTAATTAAGAACCAGTAAATGCAAAACATATTTTGATCAGCACTGCTTTAGCTTGTTTGAAGTGCTTTTTTCTATTCCGGTTATGAGCCCCCGAGCATTTAAGCCCCTTTGTTTATAAGGCCTCCTAAAACACTTTACCAAGGTGTATAAACCTAGGGATTATAAGCGGCCGTTTACAGTGTACCAAGCGGAAAATTAATGACTAAGGTCAGGTCTCTATCAAAGACTTTTCTCGACTAGTGCCCAATGGGGGAGACTGCTTTCCCGTAAAGGTAGACCTTTTCTCCGAGAGTTTGAGGTCGACCTAGGGTGCGTTTGCTTTCAAAACCTGTCTCGCTCTCAAAGGAGTTAGAAAGCGGTATTAAGGAACTGAGTCTGAGGAAGTGTTACACCTTCTTCAGGGTCAAGTACAGTAACCCTTTAAACCCTAATATCAAAATTCAAATTCTCATTTGTTATCCCTTTACGTTTTCAATAGAAGTAGTGGGGAGAATTTGTTGAAGTATCAATTAGATTCATCTTGTGTGATCATGTCTACAATTCTCATGACCACTCTGTTTTATAAAGCAGTGATATTACAAGGAGAAATTTGACGCTGATCACTCCTAGGGCTTTAAAGGTTAATGGGAGGTGGGTGAGTTGAGAGAGGTCTTTGAAAAGGGGCCTTTGCATAATGAAGTAGATGCCCTTAGGTTTAAAGTTATCTCTGTGAAGGTCTCAGTATGTTCCTTTCCTAGTATGTTCCTTCGGTTTTAAGAATGATATTATAACTGATAAGGATTGAGAAAGATAAAATTAATGGAAGGTGGGTGAGCTGAGAGAGGTCTTTGAAAAGGGGCCTTTGCATAATGAGGTAGATGCTCTTAAGTTTAATGTTATCCCTGTGAAGGTCTTAGTATGTCCCTTTCCTAGTATGTACCTTCGGTTTTAAGAATGATATTATAACTGATAAGGATTAAGAAAGATAAAATTAATGGAAGGTGGGTGAGCTGAGAGAGGTCTTTGAAAAGGGGCCTTTGCATAATGAGGTAGATGCTCTTAAGTTTAAAGTTATCCCTGTGAAGGTCTTAGTACGTTCCTTTCCTAGTATGTTCCTTCGGTTTTAAATATGATATTATAAATGATAAGGATTAAGAAAGATAAAAATGAACCGTAAAGTGTGTGTTCAACAATTGACACCACGTTTAAATTTCAAACGATAATCAGTCTTCAAGCTATAAACCTCGTTAGTTTTTCTTTTACAGACGCTAAACTGAATAATAACTGTTTTTTACTGGTGATTTATTTCAAAGCAGCTAGCCAACACAGATACCAACTGGTGAACAACAAATATTTCTGTCGTATATTCAAATGCTCAGTGTGAATTTTTTCTAATGTAGTGTAATTCATTTTCTTTTTCAGGAAATGCTCCTTTATCCGGGAAATCGACCTCTGCAGTTAGTTCTTCCACTGAAGATGAAAACACAGGTAGAAAGAAAAGCGTTTTGGGTCTTTATTTAAACGCTTACGGCGGATTGTTCATATAGCGTTATTCAGTGGTGTCCTTAGCTTATCATAGCCTGTGTGCAGCGTGTCCCGTCCCTCCTGCAATGGGATGATTACTTGACTTTTGCGGGAAGGGGTGGGGGTTAGTAATTTCACATAAATGCAAACAGACTTGAAACTATTCAAACTATTTAATGGGCCACTGTATCTGTATCGCGCAGCTGTCAGATCAATATACCCCCATTATGAGGGGTGGGGGGGGGGCTTGTCTTCATTTAGGTCTCTAAACTACACCAACGGAGCTCCCGTTGATCTGAACATTGTCAAATTTTAAGGCCGGTCTGAAGGTGAGGACGTTTGTGGAGCCTTATCCTGTAATTTTGGGACAAAAAACCGGAAGAGAAATTCCCAGGATCAGGCCATACTGAAGTATTTCTCGTTCAACTTCTCAGATGATGCGAACTCTTACAGAGACAGATTAAAAGTGTTAAGAATGAAGGCTGGACTGGATAATAGCGCCAACACGACAGAAGCAAAGGTTTGTCAACTACTACCCGCTTATCTTAGTAACAGAAGTTAGAGGTGAACTTCCATTAGCTAAGCGGCCTTTCTCAAATTGAACTGTCTGGATTTTGTTAGTCTGCGTAGCAAGCGTTTCCGTGCGGTTTCGGAGCAAACAGCGAGGAACGTGAGTCACAGACCGCGGGAAAAATGGGATGAGTACAAGAGCGGGCAGCATCCTCTTTTTGGTTCTCGTTCCATTTTTCGCGCGGCTGAACCTGTGTTCCTCGTCGTTCCTCGGTCTTTCTTTACTCCGGGATCAGAAACCGCACGGAAACGCTTGCTACGCATGCTGGGCTTTTGTCAGCCAGCGTCGCAGACGTAATTTAACCTCGGTTAGCGCCGATATCCTTGATGTGCCAACGGACTCAACGAATTACCGGAAGTGCATTTCGAATTTCCTTCTATCCTGATTGGCAAATCAACAATGACATTTTCAACAGGCCAGTACTTAAAATGGCGCGTACTCAAATCCTGGTACACAGGTGGGGGCCCAGAACAAGGATTTTGGCGCTGTTTCGCAGACGAACTTTTCCAGAGTTTAGCATCGTATGTGACGTAGGCAAGCTTTTGTTTACAGTTTGTTTTCATAGGGGAAGGAAATATGTATCTGTGGGTGCACGAAAGAGTCACGAAACTGGGTTTTGAATATAAACTTCTTCGGTTTTTCGAAAGCGTTTGAAAGTACGTGGAAATACGTCCGTGTCCGCAGGCTACATTAAATCAAACTAAACTAAACTTAAGCCAAAAATTTGTACCCAGAAAACTGAAGTTAGTGACAGAAGACTCCTGGAATTTGGAGCTGAAGGGTTACCAGAAGAAAGAACTCTTTCGGCTGAAGACAAAGGACCTTCTTATACGAATATTGTAAGTAATGTTATTAATGTAGTATTTGAAGTGGTTTTTTTCCTTTCCTAACGTATCCGTTAGCTTTGCTAGGGTTTTTGGTAAGGAGGGAAGGTAGATAAATACACTAAAAAGAACTGCTTATAATTCTTTAGTCTCCCTCGCGGCCGTTTTTGTCTCGTCACGCAACTCTTCTCGAGCGTTGCGTGACGAGACAAAAACGGCTGTGTGGAAGACAACTAATCATTACATTCTCGCATTCTCCGGCTTTATGACTTGGGTACGTAGAGAAGACTCTTTCTAGGCCGGAACCCTCGGGTCACCTTACATGAACTTTCTCCGAGCAAAAACCCTTGAGACTCCCGTACATGAACTCTCTTCGAGCGGGAACCCGCGGGACCACCTTAGATGAATTCTCTTCGAACGGGAACTTGCGGGACCACTTTACGTGAACGCTCTCTGAGCTGGAACCGTTGAAACACCATACGCAAACTATCTCCCAGGGGAAACCTTTGGGACCACCTTACGTGAATTCTCTTCGAGCAGGAAATCCCGGGACCCACTCTAGGTGTCCGCTTAAAGATTTTTGCTTCACAAATAAATAACAATTATTCACCGAAGTGGAGGTGGCTCGTGGAATGCCCCGCAATACCTTGAGCAAAATAATTACTACAATCTCTTTTGACCAATTACAGTTAAAACTGTTTAATCATTGATCGTTACTGGAAAACTCAAGGTGATCAGATTTTTCTTCTTCCTTTTTTGACAGCCCTCGGTCGTTTCGCAATCGACCGATTCAACAAACTCAATAGTCGCAGATCCAGACAGCATATTGGACATCAAGAAAAGACTCGAACGTATAAAAAATAATTCAAGAAACTGATAATGCTCTGCAATCTTAAGTTTACGTTATCTGGCGAAGAAAACAAGGCAATCGAAGTTGTCGTCTTTAAATTATCAAACATACTTAACGTTAAAACTCGCGAAAACACGGAGGAAGAGGCGAGTTACAGCGGAGTCCATTCCCTGGAATCAAGCGAAATCAAGCCTGGAAAGAATAAATGGTGTATTCGCAGCACAGACGCTTTCATTCTGTAGCTATCTGTTGCTGGGACAGTCAACAACAGTCTGCGTTTTGAGGAAGTTATTGCACTTCATATCTCTTCTAGCAAACTGCATCACGTGAAGTTTGTGTCGTAGAAGTGGCAAAAAAAGCAAGAAAACGACGTTAAATTGTTCATCGTTAAGCGTAAAACGCTGTGGACAGCAGAAAACTTTGCTTCTGATGTCTTCGAGGCGCGTGGAGACATATTTTGTTTTGGAAACACAGTGCACTTACGTTGAGAACATGTTCATGTGCGATGTGCAAAAGTGACAAATTATACACATCTTTTTCGCTGTGGGTATTTAAACGTTGGCTTCCATTTTGTAGGTGACTAAGGGCGCGTTTGATTGACCGGAATGTGTTTAAACGAAACATACCCTATAGACCTTGTGATCCAATGCAAAAGTTGCTGAAACATGTCTCAAACTGGGCAAAATACTGTTTTCAGATGTATGAAGCAATCTAGCTTGTATGACAAGCTTTTGTAGGGAAGAGCCTGATTCTTAGATAGATCAAGGATCTGGCCCGGTTCCTATAAAGGTGGTTAAATATACCAAAGATTAAGCCAAATTTTAAGCACGGTTTTCTTGTCTAAGAACTTGTAACTCATGCTTACAAAATACACTTGATCCTTTTTCTGAGATACAGTAGTGATAACACAAAATGTTTACTCTAAGCAATGCGTAGGAAGGTAAACAAAAAAAATTGGAACTAAATTTTAATCCTGGATTAGCGCTAATCGGCTTTTCAGGAACCGGGGGTCATGTGTTTGACGTCACTGAGCCTTTGCTTCACACGAGCCAATGATACCGCACGTAAGAAATTTTAATGCGCGCGAGAACGCGATTGCCCTCCTTCACCTTCCCTCGCGCGGCTGCCATACGGCAATGACCCGATGGATCAGGAAGGATTTGCGCCAGTCATTCTGTGTATTCTTATTACGAAATGCGATCAATCAAACGCGCTCGTGAGTTCCAAGGGAGACAACAAAATATCCACTACCCTAGTTCTCAAGGCCTTCTTCTTAAACGCTAGAGCAAATAGTCTACGGGCTTGGAAAACTGAGATCTTACATGTATCTGCGCTTATTCAGTGCGGTTTGACGTGCGAGTGGTTGACTTGCAATAAGAAAGAAATCCGAATTCTTTGTTTAACTTGTCTGTTTGTACAACTAGGTTTCGGTACAGTGCCTAGTGGTGGCGCGTTTTACCCGTTGTATTAGCAAAGTTAATGAAAAAGAGTGATTTAGGGGATCATAAACCGAAGAAAGGCTGGTCCACACAGTTCGGACCGAAGAGTTATAGTTTCATTCAAGAAGCTGTTCCATTTTTCATATCAGATACTATAAATAGGTGTGTTATTGTTTATAAAAGGATACTGTACAGTGGAATGCTTGTACATATTGAATTAAAGAAATTGAACGCTTTTTATTTTTCATTCCTGTTAAATTGCAAAGGGCTTTTCTAAAGAAAAAGGGTGTGGTTTTATGGCGCGACAGGTGTGGGTTTATGGCGTGACAGGTGTGGTTTTATGGCGCGACAGTTACCCATCGAATGTTATGGGTTTTCTCAACGGTGTCAGAAGTTTTTTTTAAAGAAAAGGAATTTTAAAAAGGTTAATCAATGCAACAAGGTTCGCGCTTGTATGGATACAAGTCATGGGAGGATATGTAGACAAAACCGCGCTAGTTACTCGGCACCTCGTTCTCCCTGACTTGCTGCATGCTGACAATGATAATTTATTCATAATTTGCTGCTCTGATTTAGTCAATTCTCTCTTAACAAACAGCTAGACTTGGTCTCCGCCGTTGTTTTGTGTTTTTTTTTTATTTTTCGACTTTTTTTCTTTCCTTCAGTTTGTTTTTACTCTTGTTAAGGCGAACACCTCACGAAATCAGAAACTTTGTGCTGGTCGTACTCGTGTCCTTCTTTGAGAGAGTTGACTGCAGACAACAGGTGTTGAACCTTTCGTTTTGTAAAACAAATCGGTCAGAGATCGCCCACTTTTAGGGCTACGCCCTTTTAGACCCCGCTGAGTTGCTATTTCTCTGATATTGAATCAGACGTAGCCTGCGTAGCAAGCGTTTCCGTTTGCTTTCGGAGCAAAGAACGATCGAGAAACGGGATTTTAGGTTTCGTCCGCACGTAAAATGGAACGAGAGCCATTTTCGCCTGGTCTTCGACTCCCATTCTTTCCTTAAGAGAATGGGGCGCATACAGGAATACAGGGGCGGATCTAGGGGGAGGGTGCAGGGGGTGCGCACCCCCCCTCCCTGAGATGACCTGCGGTTTTCTAATACAACTGGTATTCTGCAAAAAAAAAACTATGTGGTTTATTGGTGTTGAAGTAGAGGAAGAGACGAGTGCACCCCCTCCTAAAATAAATCCTGGATCCGCCCCTGGGAATATGAAAGGAAACGCATTTGACAAGGAGTTTTTTTATCATCGACACCATTCTTTTGTGAGAGGAACGTCGGGAATAATCTCGATTTCCTGAGCGTTCTAGAAATTCCAGTTGGAAGGTATAAATTGAAACTACGACTTTTCGGGTCTTTCCAGTGGAAAATTTCTGTGACCAACGGCATTCTAGTCTTGGGTCTTCCTATGTTACAACAACAACAAACAACATCTTTTATTTAAACACGGTGGGTTTTAAAGCTAATATAGCTTATGGGGCCGTGTTACAAGAATTTGTCCTGGGTTTCCTCCACGCTGCCGGTTTTTACTCAAAATTAGTCCCCAGTCGATCTCGCTCTCTGTTTTCAGCCTCGTTCCAGACCTTTTGTTTGACTGCGCGCGCGCACTTGAAAACGCAAAATACGTATCGTTTTGCAGTCTAATCCATGCTGCTCTCTTAATTTTGCTGTTTGTAGATGAAAGTTGTCTGCGATGTATGCTGGTTAGATTAGGGACGGACCATTGGAAATAACCGGAGGTGGGGGTGACAATTCCCCCCCCCCCCCTAAAAAAAAAATTCCTGCAAGAGAAACTTGTCTAAAAGAATCCTGCAAGCGGTGATACCTAAAAACAATAAGTCATATGCCCTAGAAAAAAATTCCTGCAGACAAGCGGGCTTTTGAAAAAAATTAATGCACTAAAAATTTTTCACCTCCTCCTCGGTTATTTCTAATGGTCCGTCCCTTACCGAACAACAAAGTGGTTATATAACACAAGAGCCCAAAACTGAACGAATGCAAGGCTGGCACTACGGCAAAGGGCTGATTTATTATAGGTCAATATTAAAAGAGTTGGCTGTAATGTTACTTAGGTGTGAGGAAAAGTTTTATAGGGGGAACAGACAGTAAAAAAATGGAGAGAGCAGATTGGAGAAATCGGGCGAGCATAGGAAAGGCCAGTGGGGTAGCGTCAAGGTGCCACATGATTGACAGGGGAAAATCCAGGGAAGAATCCAGGGAAGAACAACGTTGCGGTTAATTTCGTGGTTTCTTTCTTTCATCTCTTTCTCTCTTTACCCTAAATCCCTAGTCGACCTAGGGAAATAATTATTTTAAAAAAAGAAAAAGGTTAAAAGAGGCAGAACATAAACAAACCGGACATACGATATTAGCTGGTCTGTAAAGGCGCGAAATCCACCACGGGTGGCTGACAGACGTGGTCACACGTCTCTCTGGAGCAAGGTTATTGAACAAAGCAAGTTTCCTTCGCAGATGAATGAAAAGCTATTTTAATAAGAAAATTGTTAGGTTAAAGAGTAATTAATTTTGGGACGTATAATGATACGATTAAAACTGACAAGTAATTCGAGTTGGAAATATAATGACAAAGCAACAAAGTTAAGCACTCGCGTCACGTGCTTCATCTGTCAGCGGCTCAAAGCTTTCCGAGTTTACACATTTCGAAACGGTAAAGGATGTGTTTTGAGGGGCTAGCGTCGACTCACATCTCTTAATCATAAAAAGACTGGTCTTAGATGCAAAGGACTTTAACAAGTTATGAACCATTCAGACGATCCTAATTTACATTCTGCGTTGGGTAAGTGCGATGAAATCAAATTTCTTGACGACGCACAAGTGCAACAGTCGATGATTGCAAGGTGCTTATTTTGACTACGGTTTGCTTCATTCGTCTTCATCGCTTCTGAAAAGCCGTGTGGTCCTTTTCAATTTCAGAACTAGACAAAGACGTTTTAAACTTTCCTTACTTGGAAGAATATCTTTCTTCTGATGTTGTGGGCGTCCACGATGGGTATGTACTTTTTTTACTTAATTCGTAAGACTTAAAATTATGCACGCACTAGCATTTCATAATAATCACGCATTCAGTGCATGTAAAGGAAATTGAATACCGCGAACGTTCATTGACGAGTCCGATCATGTCTTTCTTAATCCATTGAACTTATCATCGTAAACACAGAACAGCATAATTACAAATTAAAAATGTTATGAAGCAGTAATTGGTGCCAATTGAATTCCTCTGAACTCTACCAAATACCGCAACAAACTTAGTTTCATTTTAACGCTTCTAAAAAATGCTCGTTCCTTTTAAGCTTATATTTTATTTGTAAAATGGCTTAACTTGTATCAAGTATACTGCTTGCTGGTAGAATTTCCGGTATTTGGAAAAGTGAGGGGGCTTTATTTTGCGTCAGCGGGCAATATTGCTTCTTTTATTTTCTTCTCAAAGCGGAGTCAACTTCGTAAATATTCAGTACAAGTTGTTGTTTTAGCTGAAGCTATTTTTAAAGTTTGCCATATATAGTTCTGTCCTCAGGGCACAGGAAAAATGGTCTTGAGGTTTTGAGTGCTCTATCCAAAACCTTGAGAACTGTTAACAAATGCTGCATCAATACAGTATTTCCCAAGAAAAATATTGTTACTTAAGACTTTTTGCTTACTTCAGAACAGAACAGAAAACTTTACGTGTCTTCTAGCGGGTCATCAGTGAATCTCTAATAATGGGATATTGGGCATATAATGGATGTATCAAGCTATTTTATCTTGTTTTTATAATTGTAATGCACAAGCAACGGTTATAAACTTTATTTGTTTTCCTGTGGCGATTAGAGAATTTGCCTTGAGTGTATTTTCGCGGTTCACAGAGAAGGTCAAATCTGTTGGACTATTATTGAAATAATGAGTTTCGGCAAATGCAACAAGTCTCAGACGAGACGTCAAAACAATTGAAGAAAAAAATAGTGGTTTATTAGCCGTGGTAATTGAAGTACGGCGATTTATTATATATGAATTATTCGGACTCTACGGTAAACACTTTTAATGAGAGAAAGATGATCCCTGCAAGTTCTAAGCTGCCTTTTAAATTTATATTGATTTTACTCTTAAGTGACCTGAGTTCATGTTTCTTTATAGATTCTCCATTTTTCTGTCGGAAGTGTTAGTTATTTTCTTGGTGGCGAAGTGTTGAACCTTGATCGTTCGTTGTTGGAGATCAACTAAAAATCAGTTAATTATTAGCTCATTTTTGCCATTTTGCTCTCAGAATGTTTATCAACGTGTATTCTTTTACGCGTGTATGCGTGCGTTTTAAATTTTTATACAATTGTCTTTCATGGATTAGTAATTCGTTGAATGATTTTCTTGCTTTAAAGAGGGATTACATTTTTTATCTTAAAGATCTGTGAATCAAGTTTTGCCTTCTTTTTTATTATGTTTTTAAAACCTGTGAGAAATGTTTCAGTCGACTGACAACGGACTCATGCGACAAATCAACCGGAAATGCTTTTGAATTGTTCTCCGAGACTTGCGAAATTCTCTTGTAACGAGAAACGCCGCCTCTGATCCCATGTTTGTGTCAATATTTACATTTTCTTCGTGTAAAGGTTTAAGTTTTCAGCCAAATCACAAGTCTAAGTTTAGTCTTTTCAAGTGTGATTACTTGCTTTGCTTCTTGAATAACAACCGAGCATCACGCTAACCTTTGGAAATTTTATTTGAACAATTTTATAGGTTTATTTCAATTTTTTCATCAGGAAATCTGTTGCCGTTGTTAATAAAGATCTGGCAATTACTACTGTATAACACAGAGCAGAAGATTGGAAGGTCTGACCTTTTATGACCTTTCATGCGAACTTTTACAGGCTTGGGAAATTCAAGTCAGATAAATTTTAAAATCATTCATCCAGAAACAAATGCGGTGGTTATCTTATCGAACACTTGAAAACTCAGTTGAATTTAAACAGCAGTGTTTTAATTATTGACAACGTCTCTTTGTTCTAATAGAGTTTCATAGGGAGTTTTAGATCAAATTAAAATAATGCCCGAAGAGTTATTGTTGAATTTGTTATTTTCTTTTTAAATATGAACTGTATATTTTGAAGTAGGTTGCCATTTTCTTTTGTTATTAGTTCAGCTGCTTAATTATGCTGTAAGTAATAATGAAATTTGGTAAGTAAATACCAATGGAATGAAACTGTTCATTTGACACATAAGCACTGGCAGTCATGCAAAGAATGTTTTAACTAAGCAGCAGACGTCATAATGTTGTGAAGACAACATTAAATTTGATGCTAAACTGATAAAAATTAGAAAATAAGGAGTGACAGGAATTTGAATCCTGTCCTTGCACTGACAAGATGCATTGCGTAAATTTTAGCCTGCATAACAGGTGCTTTATGAGCCAAGGGAGGCGAACACGGCATTTTGCGCAAAGCGCAAGACAAGGGGAGGAGAAAAATAAAGTGCCTGTTACCAGTCCATTGTTCTGGCTCCTCCGTCATTCACTACATGAACGTTGCATTCCAATATTTGGTTAATTGTTGATGCGTTGTTCTGGCAAGATTCTGGCTTGTTTGTCTGGAACAAAATGGCCGTCACGCGGTCATGTTCTTTTGACGATGCTGTTGGAGAAGCTCTTCGATTATTTCCAAATGTTCCAGAAATAAAGGAAAAACAAAAGAAATGTTTAAATTTATTACTTAAGAGGAAAGGTGTCTTTGGAAAAAGACTGATTTATTAACTTTTTGAAATCAAGTGTTGACAGGCCAAATTAAACATGACTCATAAGCTCACGATAATGTGAAACATGGCCTTGGAATTTGTTTGAATGACAGGTTTTCCCTCTTTTCTTTCTTGCCACTGTGTTTGGACATAAACTTAACTTTGACTGAGACTGAAACTTTTACCTTACTGAGTGTTGAAGGTGATTCATGGCCTGGTAGTTGTTATTTCCCGTGGGTTATGCTGCTGTCCGTGTTTCTGGTAGGCGGAAAGGTGACAGTCTGAAATGTCATACATCTCCGCCCCTTAACCCGTGGTTGGAGGTGTGTGACATTTTAGACTAGAAAGGTGACAATTTTTGAGTTGTGGATTGTGTTTTGATTGGTCCTTTTGACGTCACCGCCGGGTGTAGGTGGGTGGAAGAGCCAGAACAATGGACTGGTAACAGGCACTTTATTTTCCTCCTCCCCTCGTCTCGCGCTTCACACTTGTTTCACGCTTCGCGCAAAATGCCGCATTCTCCTCACTTGGCTCATAAAGCACCTGTTATACAGGCTACCTAAATTTCTTAGGTTCTTTTTGGATCACTTGGGTTGACCATAAAACCGTGAGAACACATCTGTAAACATTTGTTTTCTCCCAAGTTCATATATGATTTGTTTCAAATAGTACTCACTATCAGAACACTGAAAATACTTCATTTACCTGATTTACTTTGTGTTCTTTTTTATATACTAGGTGTAATGATGGAACTGGGCAACTAAATTTTGGATTTACAGATGATGTAGCTGGTCAGGACAATTTACTCTCTTTCAGTTTAGGAGCAAGATATGGTGGTATAATACAACATATTCAATTTTATCAGTGTCACTGTTATTAAATAGTGTGAACCTCTATTTTGCTGGGCGGGGGCTTATTTATTTCAAGCCCTTTTGTGGGAGGGCTAAATAGAGATAGGGGGCTTATTTGAGGGGTGGGGGGGCTTATTTAATTTAGAAAAGGCGATGGTATCAGTTCTCCATGAAGAACTAGAATACAAAGTGGAGAAGCTCAAGAACAAGAAGTTTTCGGTCATGCAGTTGAGGATCAGAATCAAATCCAAACTTCCAGTTGGTAAATTAACCATCCCAGATCAATCCACACAAACTTTTACAGTCGTGATTGATTATTACAATCTATCATTAATTTATTAGTGAAGAATAATTAGGGGTGGGGAGGAGGGGGCTTATTAACTTTCTTGCCCTGAAAAGGTCTGAAAGGGGGGGGGGCTTATTAGAGGGAGGGGGCTCATTTGAGAGGGGGGGCTAAATAGAGGATTTACAGTACTAAATTTTAAAGTGAAATTTTTGTGAGATAGACACCTTTGTGACCAGCACATTGTGTTGGACAGAGAGATGACCATGTTATAGAGGGTCACCCAGGGGTTTCAATAATAATAAAGTAGCCAGCAGGTTTGACTAGATTAAGCGACTGCAGGAGTCCATCAAATGGAGCCCCATTTCCATTAATTTCTTGAGTCAACCCTTTCCCGAGGAGATTTATAGATAGAACGGCTTGTTTCCTGTGAAAAGTGTCATATTTCCGTGAGTTTGTATGTCACCGTGAAAAAAATAAAGTTGGATGGAAAGTTGAACTCAGAAGCCTGTCCTTCGACCGTTTTCCTTTTATACTATACTTCCATTTTCACGATTTTACAGCCGCTGGGACCTGGGTATCATGAAATAAAAGTTAATGAATTACCGGACTGAGACTGACCACGAAGCGATGGGACAAGTGCAGCGAACTGAGGATCACTGAAAGGTTATCTTTTCATGTGTGTTTTTTTTGCCGTCATACATTCCACATGTAAGCATGCACTTCGAAAAGAGTCGATGATTAAGGGTTCTGTGGACAATTTGCAACTTTTCGATGATCTGTGCCGATCTGTTTAAAATTCTCCACAGTATAATCTACCTGCTAGAAAGAAAAGACAGAAAATCTCTGAGGGATGAAAACGCTAAAGTCATGTTTCACTAGCTTTTGATTGTGTTTGGCCTGTCAACACCGTATTTCCTGCCGTTTGTTGAAGCACAATAGCACTGTCATTATGTTGTTGTGACTGGCTCTTCCCACTGTCGGCACGCATTAAGTCTCCTCTGGGAACCGTTCTAATAATGAATCTACCCAGGAAAGGGTTGACTGCAAGGGCTTGTAAGAATGGAGGCTCCATTTGATGGACTCCTGCCAACTGTATCGACAAGGAGTTCCCACATTACTCCCCCTTTTCTATGCGGTCTGGGAGCAGCTCACCCAGAAAATTCTGAAAGTGAAATGCCTTCAAATGCAATTTCCAGCATTCTGGAGATTAAATTGAGTACATGCAAGAAAATGTAGAGTTCATTCAAGTTTCGATTTATCAGCCACTCAATCAATGATATATTATTTGTTTACAATGTTATTAAATGTAGTTGCTTCTTTTTTCGGGAACAAAAGAGTAGCAGATTTGTTTCGTTGTTCGTCAGTGCTTATTGAAACCTCTGGTCACCTAAAAGGAGTAAAGAAAAGCTGGGCAGTCTATTTTAGTAAGATGTGCGTCATGTCAGGGTGTCTGTTAAGAGATATTAAACTAGCTGGATTACATTGTTGGCTCTGGAAGCAGGAGAGATGATGTGAACCCTGTGTTCTGATTGGCTACCTGAGCTGGCAAAATGAGCCAATCTTGCCTGCTTGAGATTACCTGCCATTTCCTGAAAGAAAAGATTTTGTTTTGACCATAAAATGAATCCTTTATTGCCCAAGGCTGGTGAATCAAGATCGCTCAGTATTGGCCATGTTCTTTTTTTGCATTTTATGAAAAAGGACTTGATCTTGTTGGTCATTATCCAGCCACCTGACCCAATATGCTTAATCAGTGATGCATATGTGACATGTCTAGTAAATGCAATATAAGCACCCATATCCAGTTTTTCTAAAGTTACCATGAGAGAATTCTTGAAAAAGAATGCGTCCCTATATAAGAACCTAAATTTGAAATGGAATGAAGCCTCCTGTTATAAACCCTTCTGAACATGAGCTCCCATTGGTCTTATATTAAGAAGGAGCTTCCCTGAGGTACTAAGTATTAAATACAGTCCGGAAAGCTTTTGAGACAAGCCCACTTTTTCAACTGGGAACTTAGTCTGTCTACACTGTATAAGCTGGCATTGCATACCGTGTGGCACGAAATTTTTGAGAGAGTTTATTTTTGTGCATAGGTGACTTTTTGTGTTTTGCGGGAGCTAATTTTTGCGATTAGGACAGATTGGTTTTTCTTAATATGGCAATAAATTTTTGTGATTTTCAGAAAGTCCCTGACAAATCAGTGAAAATATTTTCAGTTTGTTTTTAAAAAATACTATAGTGCACGTACCCTTTGTATGTCCATTGCATACTGTTTTGTTTCTGAATGAAAGAGACTGGTCATCAAACAGACACAATATTTCTTAGTACTGTATTTTTGTGTAGCGAATTTAAGTCAGAGAATATTTAATTTGGAGTAAATTTTTGCTGGATTAAAGTTTGCAGTAATTATTTTTTGCAGGAACTTATTGTTGCAGATCACCCGAAAAATTGTAAAAGTTGCAAAAATTTTGTGCCACATGGCATACTCACTTGCCAGTCAGTGGTTTGAATGAAACTAAAGTTGAGTACTGATGTGTTCTTTTGAACAGGAAACCTTGGTTTTCCTTCAGGTGGCCAGGTGGCTTCTGTGGGACAGTAAGTATATACAGTACTACATGTAGTGTTAGTTACAATTATAAACCATCCTTTCAAGTAATTTAGAAGGAGTCCCAAGTGACGCTTGATAAAATTCTAGATTCTCCTCTTGAATTTGTGATGCTCATTTACCAAAGGGGACAGAGAATTTGATAAAAGATCAAAAGCCTCTCAGGGCCTTATATTCCACTCAGCCCATCAAATGAGCCTGCAAATACAACAGGGCAAAAAATTCCATACTGATGTTGGGGTACCAGTGAGATGTACATGTAAATTTGTTCATGTTTCTGTTTCTCCTTGTTAATTGTCATAAGATTTAATTTGGAGATCGATCAGCATAGCCTGTGTGGGAGGCATTCGCAAGGGAAGGCAAAGGGGATTTCAGACGTGAAAAAAGTGCGAGGGGTGTGCAAGGAAGGAGGGAAGGGAATGCCTGTAAGGACACTATTGTTTTTTTACGTAATAAACGTAAACCAATCACAGCACACTTCGAGATCTGGGTGAAGACCTTAAACTTTTAGAACAAACTACAGTGGAACCTCCATTCAAGGGACACCCTTGGGATCAAGGCAAGTGTCCCTCAAATGGAGTTTGGGCTGGAGTTTGTTAATAACATTATTAACCAACAAATAAACTATTTTTCTTTCATTCTTTCAAGCTCTGAATAATGTATAAAAAATTATGATTAAATTATCTCTTCAATGTTGTGTGTTGAATGGGGCAGGAACACACGACGAACCCCTAAGAACATCTGCATGGGTAAGGCCAGGGAGTAAGACACCAGGAAATGGTTTAGAAATAAAATAAAAAGAGCCTACATCCCAAATGTCATGTGTATGTCCTATATTATTTAGCTAGTAGAAGGATGAAAGTAGGTCTTTTGCAATGTTAAGTCTTTTGATCAACGTTCTGTAAGAAATATCTTTGTGGAAAAATGATTTAACTACAGGTAACCTGTAAATTTTTTAACAGTTTATCTCAAACGTAGCAATTGCAAAGGCCACTGAAAATTTATTGAAGGATATGTATGGGAAAAATCAACTCTTGCAAAGACCAACTGTCAGTAAAAAATATCTTTGTGGAAAAATGATTTAACTACAGGTAACCTGTAAATTTTTTGACAGTTTATCTCAAAAGTAGCAATTGCAAGGGCCACTGAAAATTTATAGAAGGATATGTTTGGGAAAAATCAACTCTTGCAATGATTGTGTGGTTTTCCATTCCAATCCTCATAAATTTTGAAACTTTTGAACTGTCTGAAAATCTTTCATGTACTATTTCTATTTGAGCCTTGGAAATTTCAAAATTTAGAAGGATTTGTATGTCGGTGTTTACGGACTGAATTTCTTTGGTCTATTGCTTTGGCAACAACACAAGATTTTATGGACCAATGTAAACTTGAGGACCATTATTATGTTGTTCATTTGTAAGGCAGCATTCCATGGCATTCATCTGTATTCTTTGTTTTTGTTAGCCCAATAGACATTCCCAACTTTGGAGGACATCGGCGTAGCAAAAATTCGCCTCTTACTCCACCAGATTCGGATGGGCCGGACTCTCCAGATGGAGATCAAGGTTTGAGAGAACTACAAAGCATCAATCAGAACAGTATAAATTGTATTTACTATTTTAAAAACTGCTTAGTGGAGGTGGGTGCCCGGGATGTCCAGGGGCTTCCACTTTTGGCAAAGCCAGCCCCTAGACAGAGTTACTCCTTCATGGCTGGTAAACCCGCGCCTTCCATGCAACCTTAAGCCCCCAGGCCATGCCAAAGGGACCTCCGAGCTGACCACCAAGCTTGGAGAGAAGGGGCTTATGGCTGGAAGAAGCCTGAGCCCTATACTCCAATCTCGGGGGCATTCATTATTTTTTGAAAGGAATAAGCGATAAGCTGGAACTATCAAGCTTTCAGAAAATGGACAGTATAAATTGGGGGTATTTAGTAAAAGCAAAAGTGCTAGTGCTGATCAACGCGAGGAGGGTGCTTGAGGGTGGATGATACCTTAACAGGTGATATCAATTGAAGCTATTATACACGTGAAGTATAACTTTTTTAAGTTGAGTGCTGGCAGGCCTAGAGATCTTATCAATTGCGAAGGCATTTGATACAAATTAAAGTACACAAAGTGAAATTTGCAACTGTGGTAATGTTTAAATTAGTTCTTTATTACCAACTGCATTGCTGAATGGAGATTGGAACTCTGCATCAGCTGGGATCTCCAGGAATCTTGCTTTTGAGGCAAGCCCTTAGACAGAGTACTACTCCCATCACTAACAATAACCACAATCCAGCAGTGATACTCTTTACTATACTTTAGGACCTCAAAGACAATGGATTGTGTGTTGCTGTGGGGGTAGGGGAGGGTTTTCTGCTAGAGCCCCAGCCCATTAAATTTATGTGTAGTAGAGCGAAATTTGCTTACATTGGTCATGTAAAAGAATTTTTAACATGGTTTCACGAGGCCAAGATTAGTTGCCCCACTTATGGTTGTAGCTAAGTCTTCCTACACAAATACAACGTACATATCTGGGTTGTCCAAGAAGCTTTTTGTTAGTGGGTGCAGTCAGCAATGTCGTCAACAACAAATTTTCTCTTAGTATATGGGAACTCTATCTCATATCTTGATCTTGGGGAAGTTTGTGCTGTGATCTTTATTACTGCTTTATGTATTTTTTTTAGTATTTTTATCTGGGAGTGTACCTGGCATGCATGCCATTGTGTTGCCATCTCTGTTACTCCCTGATGGGGGACAACAGCATTCAAGTATTTTGCAGCATGGAAGCTCCCAGGAATTTCTGTCACTGTCAGTTGGGTATGGAGAAACTTTCAAAGTCTCTTAGTTTGGTGTAAATGGAAAAGATATTAATTAGTTGCAAGTTATTTCTTGTCTGCTCCTTCCATGATAATACTACTTTAATCCCACCTGTGCATCATGGTTCATTTTAGTTTACAATATTTATGTACAGTTTAAGGTGAACTAGTTTTATGGAGTTTTTGAAGTTACACATTCATGCAGTCATAATATTATAATATAAAAACGTGCCAATTTTCTGTCTTTTATATATCTTGAACGTGAAAACAACAATTGGATAGTTGGAATGTTGTAAGTTTTTTAGGTCAAACCATTTTTCATACTAAAGCAGCTGTTCTCTGAAGTGATGGGGATCTCTTTCTAGGGTTGCCCCTCAGTTACGGTATTATGTGTTTTGTTTCTAAATCTCCCACGAGGGCACAGTCTGCAAAGGAATTAATAACTCTCTTGTTATCTATTCGCATATTAAGCATAATTATTGTACGCTTGGTTTGTTTTCTACTTCTTAACAGTAGTGTCTCCTCTGAACCTAAACGAAAAAGGAAGAGATCATCAGAGTGCAGTGAAACTTTAACAACAAATGGAATCTCTTCTCTCAGGCTTGGATCTTTGAAATCAGAACCAGGTACGTGAAAGCAGTTAGCAGTTAATTTCCTTGTTTAGAAGTGTAGCTGATATTTTTGTTTTCAGATGAATGATACAAATATAATGTTCTTTTGAGTGACTACCTTGGGAATCCATAACTGTGGTTGCAATGGGAAAAGGTCATTTACAAGAAGGGCTCTCGTAAGCATCCATGTGGTGCAAGTAGTGAAGAAGGTGTTAACTGAGCAGTCTTTTACGAGAACTTCAAAACAAAGCTAGGGAGAGACGGGCCAGTGACTGGCCATGGCTGCTTATGAGAGTTTTTACATTACATGGGTGAATTCTCAAACAGGGTCTTACAGAGCTGAACACTTACCCGAGTGGTCGCAAGGAAGGCATTGGTGTATCATGACTTTCATATTATAACACCCTTTTTCATTTCATTTTTTCCATGGACAAGACAGCTCCACCTCAATTTTCTCTAGGGGAGGTGTAACCCTACAGTGGATTGCTACAACCAGTTGCAAAAGTACTTGAGATGCTGTACCTTATTTTGGCATAAATGGCCTGTCCATGATCTTGTGCTTGTGCTCCCCCCTCCACCCCTTATCAAAGTTGCTAGCAATTCAAGACGTACCATGCTCAAAATTTGGAGGAACAACTTTGAATGGGAGGGAGGAGGGAGGTCAGCATTATATCTCACAGACCTGTGACCAGCAGCGGTTTCAAGCAAGAAAGGTCATTTTTTGGTGGGAGTGTCTCAACATTTTTGCAACTGGTTGTAGCGGTACTCACCCATGTGTTTAGTAACACATCTATACGAGATCTACCCCTGTGGACCACACTGTTCCATTTACCTTTGTGCTTATGCTTTATCTATAGGTGATTTCTGTATTGATGGTAGTGGTTCTGAGAATCTGGATTCCCCGGATCCACTCACCACACCAGCTACACCTGACCCAGAGAACTCCTACCAGTGCCTAAAGTGGTTACCATTTAAACCTGATGAGTGCTGTATCATGTATGATGATGCCTCTCAGAGAATGTAAGTCTTCCTGTTGCTTTTGTTGTCTTAGCGTTATCTCAGATTTTCTATCCTGGATACAAGAAGATTTTTTCTTATGTGCTGGCAGATACATTGGTGTCTTGGAGTGGATGCTGAAGGCCAAGCAGAGAAGCTTTTCGCCAGGCCACTGTAGACTTGCATGACTGAAACCAGAAATTGTGCATGAAAAGTCTCTGGTACCCAGGGTACAGTTTCTCCTGCAACACTACAAAGTAATCACTCATGCCTTCAAAGATGTTCCTTTGTAATTCACAGTTTACTCACCATTAGTTTTGCTCTGGTAACTTAATGTTGAAAATGAAATTGCAGTTGTGAGTCACGTGCCACTAGGAATTGACATTTTTGGAAAGAAGGGAGGCAAGTACAGCATATGTATGGTATTTGTGTGATATTTGTCCATGATGATGTTTGTACTTGTCCTCTTTAGACCTCCTCCTCTCTTTAGAGTGGATGCTGATAAAGGTTTTAACTACTCATTTGCTGATGAGGCCTTTGTCTGTCAAAAGAAGAATCACCTTCAGGTATTTGACGATACAAATTAAGTTATTTATGGAAAATATCTGTTTTGATTTGTGTCATTATTTATGACTGAGCACTACCAGTTCGTGCTATTTAAATGTACAGATTAGATGGCCTGTTTGATTGACCAAATTCTAGAACATTATGAAAGGTAATAAAACATAAGTTCAAGGGTTTGGAGATTTGGGGCTTGCAACATTTTTTATTAGACAAAAGCGTTGCAGTAAGGAACATCACAAACCCATCCTTTGTGTCCTTACAGTCATCCCAGAGTTGTAACAATAGTGAAAAAAACTCTTTGGCATTCCTGGAAGTTGGTGATCTAAAGCCTTAACCCATAGACCATCAAGTGAAGCCTACCATGTCCTGTTTCCAACCTAAGTCTTCTAACCAAACCTAACGTGTGGCTTCATTATATGTAACTGAGCTTCGTGTGTTCTGTTTGCCATGAAAAAGGCTTTCCTGTATAAAGGAAGGTCAAAATGCTCTTATTTGTCCGATGGGTGTTTAACTTTATAATGTTATGTATTTTAACATGGTATAATTATTGTCTTACAGGTAACAGCATACATGAGCCTTCAATCAGAACAAACTCCCAAATATGTCAGAGGGGAGGTTAGTAGGCATCAGCTGAAATTTCATGTCAGTAATTTATCCCTTCTTTAATTTCCACATTGGGCATTTTTCATTCACCAGAAACTTTAAGAAACTTCACTGGAAAGGCCCTTTGGTGAAGAACTTGTTCTATTTGACACAAATAGAGCATGTTTGTTCCCCTCTCTCTAAGATGGTGGCAAAAATATTGCCATGAAATTAGCCTGGAACTGATGAATCCTTATGAAAACTTGTTAATGAAACTGTTAGGAATTGCCTCCAAAGCTGAACGATCTTCTAACACACTCACAGAAATCCCGATTCACTCGTTTTTATTTCTTTCTTCCCGTCTCCTCTTGATTCTCACAGTACATTACATTCTCTCCTTTCTATTGTTCTTTTTTCTTTCAGTTCCAAAGTTCAATGCTATCAGGTTCCAACGTCACTTAACACTTCTTTTAAATCACGTTACTTAATCAAATGAAACTTAAACTCATGTTTACAAAGATAATGGTAATAAAACACCGCACAATTTCCGACACCCTCCCCTCATATGCCTACATTTAGGAGGCATATGTTGCGTTTATCTCCAGAAACTGAATCAAAACTAAAAGTTCTTGTAAGTGAAATCGATAAAAAGAAACAAAGGATCAATGTTCAAAACTCTACACGGAGTCGTCTTAAATTCAAATGTTCAATGTTCAATGTTCAATTGGCTTGCTCTTCGTCAGCAATATCTTGCATTCGTACTCTCGCTGCAATTGCTGCGTCCCGGGTGGGTCTGAACTCTCGAGCCTCCGGGTTTAGCTGTTCCTGGGGTGTCAAAGGCGTCCGGTCGCACGACAGTTCCAAGGGGTAGAGATGATTTACTGCTCTCTCTAGGTGACCACCTCCCGCCCGCAGCTTAACTCCTCGAACCACTCCATCCCGGCCAGTGTACAGCTTCTCTACTATCCCCAGTGGCCATTTCCCTCTGTTTCGATCTTCCGAATGAACTATGACAACATCGCCAACAGTCAAAGTGCTTCCCTTCCCGTCATGTTTCAAGTTATGTCGCTCGCGAAGGCCTCTGAGGTACTCCTTGGTCCACCTGGTCCACATGGCGTCTTTACACCTTTTCAAGTACTTAGCCCGTTTACGTAGATCACGAAGCTCACGATGTGGTTCCTTCTCTGGTAGGATAGTGGTACCGATGAACTGCATACTGTTAGGTGTGATCAAAGGTAATTGAACATCATCCTCCACGTAACCTAGTGGGCGGTTGTTTAAGGTCACTTCCACATCCAGGAGTACATCTTCAAGTTCCCCCCATCTGAGGCGACCATTTCCAATCGTTTTGTTAAGGGAACGCTTCACCAGGCCAACTAACCGCTCAAACTGACCGCCCCACCATGGGGCGCGGCTCAAATTGAATTGCCACTGGATGTTCTCAGTCGACAGGTAATGGTGAAACTGCTCATCTTGCTGGACTTGTTTTAGCCAACTTGCTGCGGCAACAAACGTTTTTGCGTTGTCCGAATAAATCTTCTCCGGCCTTCCTTTCCTGGCTATTAGGCGCTTTAGACTTCTTAGAAACTCGCTAGTCTCCATGCTCTTGCTGAGTTCCAAATAGAGTGCTCGCGTAAGGCTGCAAGCGTAAAGGATTATGTATGCCTTTCCTTCCTTCTTCTGGGTCACACGGTACTTGATGGGTCCCGCGAAGTCAACTCCGACAACTTGAAAGGCGCGATTTCCTTCGGTTCTGTCTCGTGGTAAATTTCCAGGTGGTGGTCTAGCAGCGGCCCTAACTTGGAAACGGCGACAACCATAACACTGCTTAATCACTTTTTTGGTCAGACGCCTGAGCCTCGGCACCCAATAACGCTCTCTGATGCGCGCCATTGTCAAACCGACTCCCCCATGCAAAGTACGACGATGGGCTTCTTCAACGAGTTTCACTGTGTAGGGGTGCATGTCAGGCAGATAGACTGGGTAGTGTCCCTGAACTCGACCTCGACAGACGAGAATCCCCTGCTCATTCTCTTTTAACCCCAGCCTTTGCCGGTCTTCTGTCACTTCATCACCTTGAATCTCTTGAGCGCGCTTGGTCCAGAACAGATGTTGTTCATTAATCTCGTAGGTTGTCAGCGGACCCGCCATTCTTTCTTGTTTCTTTAGGCGTGAATTTCGCATGAATCTCGCGGCCCAGGCGACAATTCTTAACGTCTTTATCAGGCTAAACTTTCCCAGTAGATCATCAAGGCAGTCAGTTGATGCAGTGGCTCCATTAAAAAGTTCTTTGGTAACTTTAGCCTCTGTTTGGCTCTCAGGAGTAGCGCTTGTCACGATGTCTGTAGGCCACCTGTCTTTGTCTGAAAGCCACTCCGGTCCTTGCCACCACAGCTTGCTGTCATCGACTTGCCCTCCTCGACTTCCCAGGTCTGCCGGATTTTCCTTGGTGGGCACATGGCGCCAATAGATCTCTGAATGCCCTTGTATTTTCATCACTCTATTTGCTACGAACTGTTTGTACTCGCCACCACCCTTTATCCAATGGAGAGCCACTGAGCTGTCCAGCCATCCATAGCACTGTTTAACGGGAAAGCCCTGGAGCGCTCTTCCTACATTTGTGATAAGATTTGCTGCCATATGCGCCGACACCAGCTCTAATCGCGGAATGGTGAGCCCCTGCTTCGCTAGTCGAGCTTTTGCAGTAACCAATCCCTGGCTCACACCCGATGGCTGTCTCACAACTGCATGCACTGTTGCACACACTCCGTTCTTCTTTGCATCCCCGAAGGCGTGAAGCTCGATTTCTTCAATCTGCTCTTGCGCACACGTTAAGGCCCTTGCTACTATGACCTCGGCTGGTAACTCCTTCTTCCATCGTGTCCACCGATTTGCTAGCTGTGGGGGTAGCGGCGCATCCCAGGCCACTTTCACGTTGCATACATCTCTGTAGATGAACTTTCCCTTGATAGTTAAAGGCGCCGCAAGACCAAGGGGATCGTAGATTTTTGCTAGATTACGCAACAATGCTCTTTTGGACGCGACTACCTCATTTTGAGGCAAAACGACACTGATCTGGTCTTCCTGTTTGTCCCACGGGAGTCCAAGCAAACCACCGGTCTTTGCTTTTGATTGGCCGAGCTGCTGTTTGGCAAACGTGCCCTCATCTTCGACTCTTCTTTCACTCCCTTCTAACTCGGCAACATTCGAGTGCCACTTGTGCAGTGTGAATTTAGCGTCCGCGAAGATTTTAATAGCTCCCTCTTTCAGCTGTTGCGCTTCGGGTACTGTTGGTTTCCCGCTGATCAGATCGTCTACATACAGGCTTTTGCGCAGCTCAGCAACAAGTTGTGGCATGTGAGTTTCCCAGGTTTCAAGATGACACTCTATCACTCCCCCGAGGAGAAAGGGAGAAGGCACAAGACCAAACAGCGCTCGAGTAAATCTCAACACTTCTACTTCAGAATGTTCGCTGGTCTTCCAATGAAACCTGAGTGCATCTCTCTCTTCCTCCTTGATGCCCACCTGGAGAAAGGCCTGTTGCAGGTCCCCAGTGATAAGGACTGGATGGAAACGCATGCGTACTAAAACACTCCACAGGTGATTTTGAAGCGGCGGCCCGGCATACAGACAATCATTTAAGCTTGGAACTTGGGGTTTCGCACTAGATGAGGCGTCATAAACGATCCTCAACTTTGTAGTTTCAGCTCCCATACGAATCACCGGCTTGTGGGGAATGTAGAATTCTTTTCCCTGCGGCGGATCACTTGCAACTTCTACTATTCCCTCGGACTTCTGTTTTCCGATGATCTCTGCATAAGTCTCGGTCACATCCAAGCGTCGAAGTCTTTTGTGGAGGTTGCTGAGCCTTCGCAAACTGACTTCTTTATTGTTCGGTAAAGGCGGGTGGTTACCTTTCCATGGCAGCGAGGCTTCATACCAGCCTTCGGGATGCCGTACCAATTGCTCTCGGAACTCTGCGTAGACTGCGCGCTGATCATGTTCAGGGGTATCTTCAAGCCCTAGAACGTCTAACCGACATAGTTCTGCATAGTCCACGTGACTCGTTTGGGTCAGCAGCATATTCCCGTGGTCAATCTCAGTTCCCGGTGACATAATAGTCCACCCCAGCTTAGTCTTCTCTGCCACTGGTTCCCCTGGCAGTCCAACGCGCGGCCGTTCGGACGTCTTGATCGCTGCATACTCGCTCGCCCCTAATATCAGATGTACTGGAAGATGTGGCTTAGGGTCGCAGTCCGTCATCTCAACTCCCTTTAGATGATCGTACGAATTGATAATCTTTTGATAGTGTGGGTTATCGATCATCAGCAATTCCCGTCTTTCCACCTTGGTAACATCAACGTTTAATTCTTCACTGCCATCCGTTGAGCGTACTTTGATTGTGGAAAGTTCTACTTCACGTGTGGTCGATCCCAGCATCATTTCTATTCGACGAACCTCCTTTGCACGAGGGCGCTTGGGAAGTTTCTCTAACAGCGCGGCCGAAGCATATGAACTCCCAGCTCCTGTATCTAGAAGTGCACGACACAGTACTCCCTCCACGCTTACTTTCACAACAGGATAAACTACACGCCCTTTGTTCCTGGTGGCAGTCATTAATTGGTCTCCTTGGTTGCAAATCGATGTATGATGTTTCTGTCCGCACTTCTGGCAACGCATTTTACTCTTGCATTCGGCAGCATGGTGTTTCGGCCCAGTACAATTAAAGCACATTCGTTTCCGCGCGAGCATTCTCTTCCTCTCGTCCATCGTGGACACGCGCGTGCAATCCCGCGAGATGTGATTGGCGTCATCACAGTAAACACAAAGGCGCTGGTTTCTATTTTCTGCATGGTACAGGGGAGATTTTTTCTCAGGGCGCTTGGGGAGCGTAGACTTGTTTGCGACGTTATTTTCTTCAGTCGCTGGGTTTACATCTCTCCATTTCTTCAGGGCCTGGGTCAAACGAGGTAGATCCCAGTCTTGCCAGTTTTCTTGTCCCCTGACCAGATCGGCTTTAATTCCTTTCAATTTGTCTAGCACGCTTCTTGTCATCCCGTTCACTCTCTCGATTTTTCCAAGTGTTTCCAGTGACTGGACGTTAAATAGCAGGGTTTTATAGAAAGAATTCACTCGGTTCGGGTCGGCGTTCGTTACGGTGGGGAGTTCCAGAATGTTATTGACGTAGGCGTTGACAATTTCACTCGTTTTCCCATACTCTTCCTTTATTATGTTTTTCGCTCTTTCATATCCTTCTGTATTTAGCGGCAAGCCATCGATATCCGCCCTGACTTTGGGCTCCACTAGCTCTTTCAAGTAGGCGAATTTTGTCACAGGCGCTAATTCCGTTTTGTCGATTTCGGCCTCGAATTTATTCCAGAACGGCGGCCAATTTGCAAGTGTTCCGTCGAATTTTGTGATAGAAAGCTTTGGCAGCTTTGCAGTCACGGTTTTCTTTGCATTTTGTTCTTGCTGACTGGCTTCTACGGCCTTTTGAAATCTCACTTGTTGATCTAACAGCTCACGCTCATGGCTCATTCGCTCCTCGTGTTTCATCTTCGCGAGGGCCATTTCCTTTTATCAGATTCCATCCTGTCTGCCAGTCGCTTGTCTTCTTCCATTTTCCCCACTAGTTGTCTTATTGCCAAGGCCTTTTCATCCGCTTCCTTTAGAAATTTGTCGTGCTCTTTCACCCAAGTGCTGACCTCCTCCTCTGATTCACCATTTGTAAATTTCAGCTCGATAATGGATTCTTTCACGGTATGAGCGGACTGCAATTTAGACATTAATAGTGCCTCGTGTCTCGATATAGCTTCTGCGTTTTGGGAAGCGATCACTTCATCATTCTTAGTCAGAGAGAATCTTAGAGACAGAATCTTTCCGTTAAATTCTTTCGTAAGTTCCTCCATCGCGTTGGCCCTTCTCAGCTTTAGCGTTGTTTTGGCCGATTCGCCAAATCTCAGCGAATCCCTTGATCACGTCGCTATGTACTTGATTTTCCGCAAATCCCTTGCTCTTGTTTGAGCTAAAATCCCAATAGGTCCCGTCGGAGGTGCCAATTGTGTTAGGAATTGCCTCCAAAGCTGAACGATCTTCTAACACACTCACAGAAATCCCGATTCACTCGTTTTTATTTCTTTCTTCCCGTCTCCTCTTGATTCTCACAGTACATTACATTCTCTCCTTTCTATTGTTCTTTTTTCTTTCAGTTCCAAAGTTCAATGCTATCAGGTTCCAACGTCACTTAACACTTCTTTTAAATCACGTTACTTAATCAAATGAAACTTAAACTCATGTTTACAAAGATAATGGTAATAAAACACCGCACAATTTCCGACAAAACCCTCATTTTCAGAAAGTTTCATCATGTTTTTTATTTTTATTTTTTTTAATTCCTCGGAATTTTCCTGTGGGATGTCCAAAAAACGTATGTTTTTCATTTACATCCCAAAGTGAAATTGTGGAATTTATCGTTAAAAAGAAAGTGCTCATTATCACTTAAACTAGTAGAGTTCATTCAAAGCTATTAATATAAAATGGATCCATTTGTGTTCCATCTCCATCAGTGGTTATAATCATAAAACACTTTTTTAAGTTAAACTTTGCTATTAACATATGAAAGGGCTCTACCAAGAGCCTTCAAGAAATCTGCCATTTACTGGGTGGGTGTAGTAGTTCCAATGTACTTTAGAAGTTTGAATTGTTTACACGTATAATATCTCATTATAAAGTTGTCCTTTTTCAGCAAAATGAGCTGAGACGTATCGAGAAGTTCTGTTTACATCTTTATGGAATTAAGGTGTGTGAGATTGCATTGCTTTTTGAGAACATTATGACCTGACCACATGATACATGGTCTTTTTGTGAAAATCTTTGCAAAGATTTTTCCCGTCATCAATCCTTTATTTAACCCTTTGTGGGCCTTTTTTAATCTCTCTAATAACACACCCTCTCTTTTAAGCTCTCACTGTCCAATTAACCACTAGTTAAGTTGTTAGGCCTAATATACATACACTGTAATTTCTATAAATATTTTTTCCACTTATTTAGATGGAGTCCCAGGCTAGTAGAATTGGCGTGGAACAGTCTCAGGCTGACAGAAGCAAACGTCACTATGAACCTTTACAGTATGTTAATATTCTTTAATTTTTTTTTACAAGTTTTTTTTACGGTAAAATTTCTTCTTAGTAAATTTGCAAGACTGATATTTTTGGTTACAGCCAGACCTCAGTTGAGCTGCTATCCATTTAGCTACCAGGTTATATTACCAGGTTCCAGGAGAAAAAATGCCAGTAATCACAAAATTGCTGTAAAGAGAATCTCTCCCACACAGCCAACCTTAACTATTAAAGCAACCACATGGTTGTTCCCTGGCAGTGACCTCTTATAGGGGTGCAACTGTACTTGCTATTGACTTACTTCTACTGATCTTTAAATGATTTTCAGATTTCACATATCACCAAACGAACAAGCAAAGATCACAGTTGGAAGACTACATTTTAGGTACTGTTGACAAGTGTATTTTCTCCGTCTGTTATAAGGCAGGTGTTAATGACGATTTGAACACCCCTCTTTCTTAACCCTTTCACTCCTAGAAGTCACATGCCATAGTCAAATCTACAAAATTTTCATATTTTCTTTGGTAAAATGCTTAAAAATCAAACGAAATAACCTTAATGAAAGTATTGACAAAGAAGTTTCATTTCCAAAAATGGGCACCTCTCAGAATTTTGTAACAGACTCAAACGTTAGAACTGCATTGTCGAACTCCATTATTCTTTCTGCTAGAGACAAGGTTAAATAATATTTGCGTTTGAATTTCAGTTTCTGTTTTTCGTGGCCTTACATCCTATCAGTCCCTTTTTTCAGTTAAGCACACCTTGGTATTTCCCCTTCAATTACATGCAGTCATTCCTGCGTATTGGCCGACTTCGGAACTGGAGAACTTTCCTGCATAATTACCCAGTATTATAGGATTTTGTGAATTTGCATGCAAACATTCATGCCCGTAGCATCCACTGGTTTTCAAAGACAGCACACATTCATAGCATGTATAGCCGTAATTTTCTCTTGAAAGATGAAAGGAGTGAGGACTTGGGGATATTTAACTTCAAATGAAGCAGCAATTATCAACCAATTATTTCAATTGCACTGGATGGATCAATTGCCCACCCACCCCTCCCCAGGGCAAAAATTTGGCTTAGAGGAGGGGTAGAGGGGCCTTTCTGGAGGGAATACAGTATACTTATTTAAGGGAAGTAGAAGTTTCAAGATGTCTATGCAGACTCTCGGGGTCTCTTACATATCCACAAAATCTTTTATAGTGAAACTACGGCAAACAACATGAGAAAGAAAGGAAAACCAAATCCTGACCAAAGGTAACTGCAGCAATGTGAACTTTTGGCCGAGAAAGACCAAATGGTCATCAGTAACAGAAGGCTTAGTAGAAATGTTCAGGATTTTTCCATCAAGAGTCAAAACAATGGCCCTCCAGATGGCAGATTGTATATGACTTACAGATTGGATATGCCACCTAACAGTGACGCCAACGATAGGAGACTTAAAAGTTGACGATTGGCTATATACAGTGTAGATACTTCTAGGTTCATTCACGTTGATGTTCGTGATGTTTGACAAATCATTTGCTTTATTTTCCATTTTATTCCTTTTCAAGTCTTAGCTACATTTGAAAATTTGATTGATGAGCAATATATAATTAATTGATTGATTGACTGAGTGATTATATTCACAGATACTTCTTGCTAGTTGTGGCGGTCTGTGCGCATTCAAAGAACAAAGAATATTTAGTCTGTGCCAATGTTTCAGAGAGGATTATTGTTAGGGTGAGGAGTTTGTTGTTGTTCATCATGCCTTGAGACAGGTTGATCGAAGCTGCAAATAACAATTCAATCATCAAACTATGTCCAAGTAAAATTTGCCCATGTCAGGCAAAAAATCATCCCCCTGCCCTCAGTTGCACTCACCGTATTTTTGTACGGAAAGGCTCCGCCCCTAGGTCCAACCCCTTGCCCTTTTACACACCATATTTGTCAGAATAGGTACCCCTTTCTTATACGTTTTATTAGCAAATGGTACTCTAACCCTTTTACATACCTTCTTTAGAACACTACATCTCTTGACTGCTGTAAATGCACCTTTTTTTTTTCATTCCGGTCATTCTCCGTTGCATCTCATGTTATCCCATAGTTTTTTTGCGAACCAGAAAGAAAATTCTGCATAGTGTACTTTGATTCTGATACTTGGATAAATAATTTTTAGGCTTCCAATCCAGGCCAGTTTGAAAATGATATGGAGGTTATTTGGTCCAGAGGTCAAACTACAGACTCCGTTTTTCGAATGGTAAGGAGAGTGTTAAACTTAGAATGTGCATATTATTTAACTTAGTTTTTAGATAGCGTATCTGTTTGTCGAAGTTATTATCACCAAAAAGGCCCACATGGAGAGTGGTTAATCAGCGTGTGTGTTCAGCCTCAAGTCCAAAAACTCGAAAGGGAAAACTGCTTGACTTGAAACCTTTTTGCAATGGCAGACGTAAGTCGAAAAGGTAACATAAGCTTACACTCTCTACTAATGGGCTTTGCTACCCTTGTTAAACACGAGGACAATTTGCAGAAAGAAATGAACCATAACCAGGGAAAACGTTTTTACGTGATGATTAATTTATCGATCTGGGCCTTCTGAGGCCACCGTCAGTTTCTCTTTGCGGTTCTATGACACTTACTAGACACGTTATACTCTGTAAGAAATGATAAAAAGCTACGGACTGGATTGTTTTTCATTGAAAAGTTGCAAAATTGTCCAACTTTATCGCAACGTGTTCATCGTTCATCATAATAAAAGCAAAGTTTTAAATGAAACAAGACCGTTGCAGCAGAATTTCTATTTAACATTTATACAAGTAAACCGTGTTGACGTACTGTTAGTAGAAAACACTTCAAAGATTCCGGAAACATAACAACAAGCACTTCTGGCCTCCGTAGCGGGCTGGACTTACCACGTGCGTTTGCTTTATTCAACGCGTACTCTCTGTGGCCTTTGTTTGGGCTGTAAAGCTGCGAGAAGAATAGGAATAAGTCAGTGCCGAAACTCTCCTTTCTCTACTGGCGGTTCTGCCCCAAAAAAGCATGCACACACTTTGAACCCTGCAGCTGCGCAGGATAAAGCACTTCTAAACATTCTGACCCCATATAAATGTGATATTTTTAGGGTCGCGTTGGCATCAATACTGACAAACCAGAAGAAGCTCTGTCAGTTCATGGCAACCTAAAGGTGACGGGGCGGCTTGTTCATCCCTCTGACAGCAGAGTCAAGGAATCCATTGAAGAGGTATGTGGGACATGTACCAACCGTCTGGTAGGAAATAGGCGCGAGTAGGATAACTGTTTCATTAGAAATATGAATAACAAAAGGGAAATAAAAACATTGATTAATATGTCTGTTTCATTTTTGAAGAACCACAGCTCTACCAGGCAGAAGTTAAATGGCATCTTTATCTTAAGGATTGAATTGTAATTCGTATACCATGTCCCTAAACCAGTCAAAACTCTCTCTTTACATTGCACAGATCAATCTAATTTATATTACAAGTGAAAGCTGTCTTAGCGAACAGTCTCGTAAGCGGACAGCGCTACTTACGGCTACCTTCACAAAACCCCGTTTCTGTTTTCCCCGTGCCAGAAACGGAGTATCTTAAGGACCTTAGTATCAAATACTAGAGGGAATGTTTCATCCGATTTGCAGACACCGGTTGTATAATCTCAAATAATTATTTGTTAAGAGTGTGGTTTCGACGAAGTTTAAAACTTTATGGTAATGCGCGACATCCAAAAGCTCCGTCACGTTTTGTCTTCATGAGCTCGAGAAAGACATGTTAAAGCTGTTCCCCTTGATTGTCGTTGGTTTTGATTCAGGTGGACACAAGTGAACAACTTAAAAATGTGTCAAAAATGAAGCTCTACAGATATCGCTACAGCCGGGAATACTTGGAGCACGCCGGCTTAGGAACAGGTGACTGTGACGGGGAGGACACGGGAGTTTTGGCACAGGAAGTCAAAGAGGTCTTACCGGAAGCTGTCAAAGAGTCGGTAAGTGGTTTTCAATGTTCGAGCAAGAGGCCTCTTTACTCTATGAGCCGAAGTTTCTTTCCAGCATGGTTTTCAGTTAGCATGGACGAAGTCGCTTAAATCCCCGTATTTGGCCTATTTACGTAAGCTACGCGAATGTCAGCGGTGCGAACGACTTTGTACATGCTTAAAGCCAGGCCGGAAAGAAATCCCTGCCAAAAGGGTTGTGACTAGAATGGATACCTTAAAATCAGGTTGGACACCTTATGTTGATTACACAATATATATACCACGCAATATACATATACCACGCTATACTCTGTTTATGCGAATGTATTGGGCACATTTTTTAGAAAAGTGGAGAAATCAGGGTAAGAGACGGTTGTGCAAGGAAAAGAGATTAACACAGGGCTTAGCACCGAAGCACAATGATTAGGGTTAAACACTGTTTTAAAAACGGTTGGCTTTCGATAATGTAATGATCAATGCCATGTAAAGTACGTTAAAATCAACCGGTGTCGGCAGTTAGCCCTTTATGGTGTAGTGGATACGGATGTGGATTATACGTCAAATGATGCCTAAGAAAACAGCCGACACTTCACGCCACCACTGATTTCCCTGCAAAATGACATCTAAGGAGCAAGCCCAGAGATTCCGTACTGATGACGTGTAACTACCCAGTTCTGATTGGTTAAAGCACATTTCCCGCGCGTCAAGGCCAATCGGAGTCACTACCCAGACCTGGCCTGGGTGGTGACACGTCATCAGTATGGAATTTCTGCAGTCGTTCCTCAGACGTCATTTCGCGAGGAAACCAGTGGTGACATCGAGAAATATCGGCTGTTTCCTCTTTTTATTGAAAGAGTATTGGCTTTAAGTTGCTAGATTTCTGAGCAATGGCTTACGTTGTTTTTGTTTTGCTTTTTACCTTAGGATGATTTGGTTCTTCCTGATGGTAAAACAATCGAACGATTTTTAGTTGTCAACAAGGTAACAATATAATTTTAATTCCCAATAGATAAATTACTCTTCTACACCGTACATCCAAACTACCGTAGTCTCGGTATTAAAAGAGATGTTTAGAACCAGTTATTACCAGTCAGAACTTGAAGTGACGAAGATGAAGACCATGAAAGAAAGAGTCGGTGAAGTGTATTGAAGGGCCCCCTAAGAAAAACATTCCATGCTGGCAGAGCGTGCAGTGAACTAGTCCCGGGGGACTCCCATATGAAACAGACGGGGATGCTCGTCGTCTCGCTTAGGGGTGTAAATTTTGGATTTTGGTCTCGCTTAGGGTGTTCCGGGCAAAGCGCCAACATTTTAAACCGCCAAGGTCTCGTTTAGGGTTCCGGGAAGAAACACAGAATTACGCGAAGAGAAACGGAAGTTAAATTTTCTTTTTTGTTTTGTTTACCGCAGTACTTCTGTGATTATAAATCAATGATTTCTACAAATAGTAGAGAACATTATAATCCGATTAATCAGTGACAATAAAGGAAGCGTTCTGTTTTAGGAGTCAAAATTTGCTTAAGCTACGCTTAGATTGGTCTCCTTTTAGGGGTCACAAAAAGCTTGAGCCACGCCCAGATGGTCTCCTTTAGGGGTTAAATTCAAAATTTCCGACGAGCATCCCCGTCTATTTCATATTCCCCCCAGGGAACTAGTGGCGAGTTTCAAATCAAAGACATTCCGTCAGTACCATTCATATTGAGCACGATCATCAACATGTGTCACATCGCGAAAGTCGTATGGAACCACTAGTAAACTGAAGCAAAGATGTGGTTACGTTCGCTCATGTCACACTTATGGGACGCAAACTACTCTGCATTAACCAAACATTTTCTTTATTGCGCTTCTCCAGGAAAGAATCTTCATGGAAAATGTAGGAGCCGTAAAGGAGCTTTGTAAACTTACGGTATGTTGTTGTTGTTGTTGGTGGTGGGTGTGAGGTATTTTCTCCATTTTTCTTTGGCCTTGGGGATGGTTTCATCCTGCACGACAAACATAATAGGTAATAATAGGTGCAAAAGACGTCATTCAACTGTATCCCATTTTGTAGCCTGTACCCGGCGTCGGCACCCGGATAGTAGGGAGTTAATTAAATACCCGAGGACAGCGACGGCGGCGAAAGCTTCGCTTGAAAAATAAATTCGCGTTCTTTCAACCTCTATCTCGATATTCCAAATCGCTTACTTTGTCAAATGCAAGCGAACTCTTATGGGCTTGAATTCCTAGGAACCATATCCAAGTTCAGTCGCTTGTTTACGTCCTTCAGACTCGAAAATAGGGATTGTCACGTTGTGTGACGCGTTGTCACGTTGTGCAGTGATGACAAAGAAATGTAAAAAAAATCTTGATGCACATACAAAGTTGTTGTTTTGCTTATTCAACCCTTTTTTTATCGTTGCGGGCGCCGTCGTAGCATCTTAAACTCCTTAGTAAGTAGTAAAGGGTGTTGTGTTGTTTAACACTATAGACATCAAGTGTAACTTTCAGCGTGCATATTGCATTGGTGGGACAGATAACTCAACAACATTCAGCAATATGGCTTTGTTAGAGCTGATCAGAACGCATTTTTTTTGTCAACAATCTACTCCGACAGGATAATCTAGAAGTAAGAATTGATGAGCTGGAAACAGTGAACAAGAAACTTCAAAGAAGGCGCTGTGACACCGTGAGCACGTTTAGCAGTTTGAGTTTGTCCCGCTGTAGCTCCTTTAGGTAAGCAAATGTCTCATTATGGTTTTGGTAATGTGAAAACTAGCAAACTAGTAGTATTCAGTTTACAGGCAGAGAAAACCTAACAAACCAATCCGACTACTAGAAAGTAAAACACATATAAAGAAAACATTCGCCGTTACCATGTATCCAGCGCGGAGATTTTAGTTTTGTTTTTTAAGCTGTTTTGTCTGCGAATCGCCTTTCCCTGATAGTAAAGCTCTATTTACGTTCCTTTTTTGTGTGTACTAAGAGTGATTTTCGTTACGGTTGAATTTTTGCAGAGCGTCAATCGACAGTAAAAAGAAGAACGAAGAACGTCGCCGAAAGAAGTGTCATCACCATCATCACTGCCATCATCACCACCATCATTGCTCTTGTGTTGTAAGTTCTGCTGATATGATACAGCACTGATCTGATTCTGCGATGCCTAGTAAAGGTGTCTGCGGACTGGCGCTTTGCACTTTCCCCCAGGACCCTGGTATGGAAATACGGACCATGTTCAGAAAGGACTAATGTTCATCATGTCCGCGTGATATCCCTCCCTGCCTTGGAGCATTTGTTTGTTTGTTTGTTTGTTTGTTTTTTCGGATCTTGAAAAAAATCGTCCTGGCCTGATTTTCTCTCTTCCGCAGAGGCTGCCAATGGTATTCCAAAAATGAAAAAAGAATTATCAAACAAGTGAAGGGCGCGGAAGACGTTAGGAAGAGAAAACACGATGGCTCGTGTGG